GATTGTACTTGACACTACGCAGAACTTGAGGGCACGTCGGAAACCCAAGCACTGGAGTCGGTATTTCAGGTGCACGAAGCATGTTGCTCCAGATTAAGCGTGGTGGTACCGCGTTTTCGTCCATTCGCTGGATATAGTCGCGCATTTCACGTGTCACCTTGGCGCGAGGAGGTAACGAACACGCTATGTCTTCACGCGCGTGTGGCTGGCCATTTGTGTACGCAATCCACCGCTTCGAAGTCGGGCACTCATGCACTTTCCAGAGCGTTGCACATTTAACAGTTCCTTTGCAGTCTGGACTCTGACAGCGAAGGCGCCGCTCAGCCATCGAGTGGTCCCCGGGGCAAATCATCACCCAAAATATGGCAGAACAGCAAAATCGCTACCAGCGAAACTTGACTAACGCATCTTCGCCTTGGAACTCGGCTAACTTCGTCCAGGTGTGGTTTGGAGACATCTGAGGTGGGGACAGCTGCAGCTAGGTTCTCCGCAAACTCTCGAAAGGTACTGGCTTGTTGTGTTGTGTGGGGAGCTGTTGGCCGACAGTATTCTCGTGTAGATTACACCAAGGTTATGAAATTCGAATATTTGAAAGTCTGAGCGTCAGATTAACACGCGCGAGTTATTGTGAATCAAGAAATTCAGATTAACTCGCGCGAGTTATTGTGAATCAAGGGGTTTAAGCTGAGCCACCTACACGTTAGCGCTGGTCATCGCTGCGGTCAACGTTTTGTATGGTTGCCGTGCTTTGAAATACTGTAGAAATACCAGCCAGTTCAGCAACCAGCTTTGCAACCGTCATCTCATTGGTTAAAAATGGAGTACCAGGTAATGTGTCACTTTGCTGCAGCCCTTTGAGGTTGCTTTATGAGCAACGCGCTGTGAAATGAGCTGAATAACTCTTGTGCATGTAGTACTGACTGCGAGAACCTCTTTGCAATACACTAGCGTCGCTCTCGTAGGTGCAGTACCGACCGCGAGAACTGGTCACGGCCTTGTACTCCTTGAACGCCTTAACTTTCTTCAACAGAGCGGCAACAGCTCACGCGTGCAGGCAGTACTGCTGCGGGGTCCTTCCATACCGATTTCATGAGTCTGTAGCCGCGGGACGGCTTCCATTTCACGCAGATTGCTACTGTGCGGTAGGTCTGGCGGGCTGGCTTTTATTTGTGTGAAGATGTCTGAAATGATGACACAGTTTACCTGCGTTCTCTCATCTCAGTGAGAGCTGGATAGAGTGTGCCTCTGATTCTACCTAGTAGCCGTAGATGAGGAAGTGGTAGAGGTAGCCTGCATGAAATCGTACGGGTTGTGCAGCAGCACCAGGAGGGTGCGGAGCTAGCTCTACGGGTAGCCCCGCCGCCATAACAGGCCTTCGGCTCCGACGTGACCTCCTACTACGTGCACGTACGACAGTATGAGCTGGTTCGACCAGCCATGGAAAGCTCCAGGCCGCCGTAGGCGGTGCCACGGCTTGCCACGGTGATAAACGCTTTGCAACCCTGCATAAACGAATTCACTTGTGTTTTGTATACTGTCTCCCATACGGCGTCGTTTTGCTACCGTGACTTGCAGATTGTATAGGAGTTGAGTTGCAAAGCAACAATCCTGGTCGATACCATGCAGCTGGCCAATCAGAGGTGGCGATTTCTAGAAATACAACCTGGGTTGCAAATGGCCGGTAAGGTACCGGTATTAACAGCTCTGGCAATGAGGCAGAGCAACAGATCAAGCTTGGGAACTGACAATCTGGCTACCGGTACCGGTACGATGCTTGAGAAAGTACAGTTAGAATGTGCAGGTTGCTAGTGACCGGAAAAGTGGTTGTTGACGATCACTTTCCAGCTGTTGTGGTTGTTCTCGTCTTTTTTAGATTGCCATTGTCCCATAGAAGGTTGTTTGTGGTCCAAAGTTGGTACACTGGCGACCCCGACTCATCACCCACGAGGAGGACAGGCACGTGTACAGATAAATACGGCAACGCAAAACCCGGCACACATATGTTGTACTTTTTACAATAAGTAATTCAGATAGCCAATCAACTTCGGGATTTACACTTGACATTTGTATTCCATATGGTTTTAAGGACTTTCTATAAATTTGTGTGTACTTTATGCTCCGTTACGTGTACTTTATGTCATTGCCTTGTACAATCTCTATCGTTCCTGACAGAGAATTCTGGCACATTTACTATGGAGAATGCCATTCAGTGGTGCCGGATTTATCCGTCGTTGTCTGTACACGTTTAATACATGTACAGGCGTCCCCGGGCTAGTCCCGGCTGTACAACTGCATATTTTAATGTACCTCGCACAGGAAGTACAACAAGCTCTCAAGATTTACGCGCTACTTCTGCAAACGTATTGATTTAGATGAGTGTACAGCGATACCTACTGCGACAAGTGGCACGTTGCGGGAATACCTCCACCGCTAACTTCGTTCCAGCTGTGAGGCTTTGCCATATTTAGCGTCTAAAATGGTCGGCAAAATAACTGCAAAGAACAATAACATCTTCAAGGAAAACATACAGCGTCGCAATCGCTGAAGTCGTTATTGCTCGTGATCATGAGCTTGGAAAGAGGCTGGATGGACGCGCGCGGTGGCTGCAAGCCATAATCTAGCAGAGCGAAGGTCTTCGACACGCTCCAATTTACCAGCAACCAGCAACACAAGGAATAAACCTGGCCTCTGCCATGCTGCTCTACCCTGCCATCGCCTTGGCGTTGGCTCTCGGACAAGTGTCTGCGGCAACTAACCTAACCTGGACACCTTGCCCCCTCACAAGTGACAAATCCATTGACGGTAGTTCCAGGGATAATAAGGCGGAATGCACCATGTACGCTGCGCCGCTGTGCCACCCCGGGATCTGCGAAACGCCCGACTCGGCCATCTCGACAGTTGATGTATTCGTGAGGCGAATTCCCGCTGCGAACCGACAACCCGATGTAGCTCCAAACGTGTGGCTTGTTCAGGGTGGCCCGTACTACTGGGACTCTCTGCATAAGTACTGCAAGACCGTTGGAGCACGTGATGATTTCAAGGACTAACGTTTGCTGTGGGCGGTTGTGTTCCAGTGGACCTTCCGATAATGATACTGTATTCGCAACTGAAGGGCGAGGCGAACGTGTACACGATGGACTACCGCGGGGCTGGACAGAGTACGCCCTTGAAGTGTGCGGCCCAAGCCAAGTCGTCAAGCTTGGTCGATCTGGATCTGGAACTGGTCCCTGCATGTGCAAAGGAACTCGAGGAGAAGTACGGGGACCTCGCGGCCTTCTCGACCACCAGCGCTGCCATGGACCTGACGACTTTCATCTCGAAGTATGGCAACGATTTCAGTACGACCTTGTACGGAGTGAGCTACGGTACGATCTGGGTGGAGCGCGTGATGCATCTCAATCCTCCGGAGGTGACGGGGTACGTTCTGGACAGGGTCACCACGACGTCGCTGGATAACTTCTACAGCCTGTCGGATGTAGATGGCGCGTTCGATGAGGTTGCCGACTCGTTCATGGCTTTGTGCTCAGAAGACAGCTCGTGCAACGCGCGCTTCAAGAAGAACGGACTTAAGGCCACTCTGCAACAATTGATGATGAAACTCGACAAGAATCCGAAAGCGACGTGTGCCAAGTTGCTGAGAAGTGTGCAAAGCGGCCAGGACGAGGACCCGCCATCGTTTGTGCTTCGCTATCTGCTGGGTGAACTACTTCTAATCATGGAATTGCGAACGCTCATCCCGCCAATCGTATACCGATTGTTCCGTTGCGCGAAGAAGGACGTCGCCGTTTTGACCAAGGTCATTGAGACCGTTAACCGGTTCTTGAACCCCACCGCCAAGGATATTGGCTCCGAATCCATCGTGCTGGATATGCTCGTGGACTTCTCGGAGATATGGGAAGCGCCTTCACCCTCCGGTCAGGAGCTCAGGACACGCTTCGAAGGTACGAGTATGAACAGCTTGCTGGCGTACAAGGATGTACCCTCGTACTGCGCGTTCTCTAAGGAAAAGTCGCCAACGTGCAACAAGCTCAAGGTCGGCAACTACAAAGGGAACGGCATCATTTACGAGCGCGACGAGTACTGGAACAAGGCCGCCAAAATCCCCGAGAAAGCCAACGTGTTGCTTATGAGCGATGGACTGGATCCGATATCGTCTCCGAAGTATGCACAGGCCTTGTTGAAGGCTCTTGACGGCCAGAAGAAGGAGCTCGTCACCTTCAAGTACGCGTCCGGTAGCAGTCTCATCGACAGCAATAACGAGCCAGCTTGTCGTATGTACGTCCTTTCCTCTTTCGTGCAGCACGATGGCGACTTGACCAAGCTGAACAAGACGTGCCTTGAGGACGAGGCGGCATTTAGCTGGACGATACCGGAGGTTTACCAATACCCGATCTTGAGCACTAAGGACGCGTACGACGGTGAGTTCGACCCGAGCTTGAGTGCCGATGAGGCGTCTAGCGATGCCGGCGACTCATCTGGCTCAATGGAAGAAGACTCGCCTGGTCAGGCTTAAGCCTCAATTGATTCAGCCAGCAACAGTTACAGCATCTCTTCATCCGAAGTCGAGGACATGAGCGCAGCTACAAGGGGCATTTTGTTCGGCACAAGCCAACGCTGATGCGTTACAACAGGCGTCTACTGGAGAGGCGATACGTGCTGTAGCACACAGCGCAAGACAACGCCCGGGTTGTCGCGCGCTAGTGTCGCGTTGCTTGGGAGGGCACGATCTCTGAGAAGCTTGAGCAAGCGCAACATCAACTAGAGACGCAAACCAGAGACTATGTTGCTGCGCGTGCCGATGGTATCAAAACCTACCCCAGCAACGAGGTGGAGAAGCTTCTCAAGGCGCATGAACAATACTTACAAGAACAACTTGACGATTCGTTCTACCGTTCGCAAGAGCTTGAAGGGGCTGCCATTACGGCAGCAGTGCACGCAGCGGAAAAGCTAGCGCAGGAAAGCGAGTTGATGAGAAGCTGAGCGAAGCACATTATCGCCGTATGGAAGAAACTAAACAGCTGCGCAACCACGTGAATGAGGCTAGGTGCTTAGCTGAAAACGCCGCCCAAGCTCGAATACAAGCTCATGCAGAGCTGCTAGAACGACGTTGGCGCCAGAATATCCAGGATGTGGTGTCCGAACGGATTCAAGCTCACATCCCAAGTTTGGAAGAGAAGCTGGGAACTTATTGCAAAGCTGAACAAGCCCGATTGACTTCGAGTGTGGCCGATCAGCAACTTAAACAAGCTCTTCAAACTGCAGTACTACGCGTTGAGGAAGTCGCAGAGCACGCTACTGCAGAAACATTAGCTGAAAAACAAGAGTACCTCCAGATCTACATCAGAGAAGAAATCCGCCGTACATTGGCAGCTCTTACGAGATGATGCAAACGCAGCTTTTGGTAGCTGCGTTGGTGGACACGTTGATGAGGCTCACTTCGACGGCGAGGCTGTGTCAAAGACCCCAAAATTTCCAGAGCGTAGGGATTGTACATCAGCGCTTATGGAGACGTCAGGAAGATTGAATGACTTGAGTTTGACCAACGATGGCGACCTCGTTCGACACCTCCGTTCGCATTTGTGCCGTATGACGAGTTTGCCAACCGTGCTGCGGTGAATCTCCGTCAACAGGCTGCTTCAGCGAAGGTGGCGAAAGCAACGAATGCCCCCCCCCTCCATCTAAATCGGAAACATCAACGTACGCGGCAAGATCCGCACTCGGTGCTCGAAGCCTTAAGGCTAGCTGCAGCGAAAAAACAACGAGAAGCGCAATTGAAGGAATCCCCCAGGAAGAAGAAACTCGGCTAGAGGTGAGAGGGGAAGTATATCTGTGATACACGTAATGAAGCAATATCAAAAGATGCATTGGTATTTAGGACTATCCTGAGGGTTTGAGGGTGTATAACCACCATCAAGCATCTATTCGCTATCCGATAGGGGAGCTGAGAAAATTCGTTGATCATCGTACCCCATTCGACCCGAGAGCTTGCAGTAGAGTCTAGATCACCTTTCACATTCGTGGGGATGTGTCGTTTGATGTCTTGGGGGCAATTTTCGGGCACTGACAGACGTCAACAAACTGCCGATTTTGCCGTAAGAAGCTTGTCATGTCGATATTGTGTCCACTGGTGGATGCCCGAAGCCCCCAACCATTTGCGCGCAGTTGCCAAAGTCTCGCTCAATTCGAGCTGATGAGCATGGCACAGCAAAACCAGCGACGAATTTTAGCGACATGCTGCTGGATTTCTTCGTCGACCATTGGCTGCTGTAGCAGCCACGATCCGATCCATTGGCCCACCGGCGTGCTTCACGGCGGGATGAGTAGATACTGCATTTCGAAGGCGAACGCTCCAGTTGGTAGTATTTTTTGTCAATGTACCGTTTGAAAACGTTTTTGTAGAGATGGCCCTGGCGCACGGCATCAATGCGGTTGGTTGAATCACCACAGGGTTACGAGGGGTAGAATCAAAGCGCTGCACGGGTTCGTTGAGGGCGAGAACCGAAGTCTGCAGCGCGTACAGAGTAGGCAACACATCGACTTGATTCGCTGATTCGCTTTGGGCGCGCATGTTCACTAGCTCGATTGGCGCAAGTAGGGAAAGAATCTGCTCCAAAAGCACTTTATCGTTTATGAGAGGAAAATCAATGGGAATTTCCAGTTGACGTTCTCGAATCGCTTTCGCGAGGCGCTAGGCAAACCATCGTCGCAACGCCCCCCCCCTTCTCCTAAAACCTTCGAATGCACCCAGCAAGTCCCATGAACCGGCGCGGTTATACGCAACCAGTGTGGTGCTATTTCCCTTCCCCAGCAACAACATCACCTGCTCCATTAGGTCGTCCATCTTCTCAGTACGATGCACCTGGAAAATCGTGCGTGAGATCCGATTAATCAGCTCCGACATAGCCACATTGTTGCTGTTTCGCGTCATTCCACACGCGTTCTTGGTACCTGCATTCACTAGGTGAGGGATACACCTCTCCCATTGGAGGTGCAGGCTCTGGGTCATCATCCACTTTACGGTGGTAGCACCAAAGCAATCTTCCGTTTCCAGCTGAAAGTCGTGGAGAATCACCTTAATCCACCTCTGAAAGGGCCCTCGGATTCCTTGGTCACGTTCCCCATATTGAGGTCGAAAATGACGGGCACCCAGCAAAATGGACTTGAACTGAAACTGAGCGTCAATGAGGTACACACGAAACCCAAGATATTTATTTCCAGTGTGCTTCGAACTGTAAAATTCTGCAACCGCAACAAAACAGGGCATTCCACCAACACGGTTGTCGCGTAGGAAGCCAACGACTTCTTGCAGTCCAGCAGCGTAGAGCTCAACAATAGAGTGCGTGGCGGTGTGAGAGTTCACTGTAGCTTGGAATTCAGCCGTCGTGCAGATATTTTTGATGACATGTGACTCGGGATACTCTCCAAAGCAGAATGGCAGATTGGGGTTCACAATCCTCATAGTTTCCAGCAGAAGTCCAAGCCGCTTAGCGTCACCGCGACACAGTGCCGGTGCCTGAATACGGGAAATCTCAACATAATGTGCCCTCTTTCGCGTAGTCTCGAGAGCTGTCTTGTCCGAAATCACACTGTGAACACTACTCAAATGATATGTCGCCTTCGATGTTTTCCCTCCACTCAACGAAATGCGCGTGAATGAGTCTCTGCTGTCCTGACTGGCTAAACAGATCCAACTTATTCCATCTACATTGTCAATCCTGGTGCTCACGCGAACACCGTACTTGAAAATCAGCAAGCGCTTTTTGGCCGACGGAGGGAGCAACGAGCAGCCTGGCAGTAGCTCGTAATTCAGAACCGCTTCCCTAACGCACGCGGGAAATGTTGCGAGATCATGACTATCATGCATCGAAGACAGGGTTGGGCGCAGGTTGCAGTGGTCCATTTGCATATACCACTTGGGAATCGCTGCCATATCGCATTGTTGCACCGACAGAGTCTGTATTTTCATATTGTGCCGTATCGCGCGATTTAGCAGGACATGTATGACTAGCCACCCCACGAGCCACCACACTTGGATTTCCCCATTCAGCAATCACGGAGGCCAGCGCCATTTGAACTAGTGTCCGGGTTCGTGGGGATGTCGTCATAGTCATGTTGCTGGAAGTGACAGTCGGATGATGAGAATCTAGCCCAGTGGCGTGTGGTGTCGTGTCAAAGCCCGGTCCAGAATGTGGTTATTGAGCATCTGATTGAGTACGTCTCGACAGCGACTCGAACGCTGAAAACGCAGGGGGTAGTGGTTGCTGCATTGCCTCATCTTGGGGTCCATCGTCGGCTGCTACGTTTGCGAGAGCAGATGTAGTTTCTGGTCGATCGGCCGCACCGCGGCTGGAGTGGCGCTGCGCCATCGGTATCTGCCCGACCTGGAAGCCCAGTACGATGGGAGGGAGGGTTTCTTGGTTGCTGTCGAGGTCGAGGTTGAAGCACTTGGCCGCTGGCATCTTGGTATGCGGACTACCTTGTTGATCTTTTAAGTTGTGAGGTAGCGCTTGCTACCGCTCTCTTCTTTCGCAGCGGTTCCGATCGTCTCAACGCTTACGCGACCTCTTGTTTCGTTGATTATCGTAGCTCCGAGAACTTTTCCTCACGTAGCGCCTGGTTTCGTTCGTCTTTTGGCTTACGCCCTTGGCTTCGCGTGGCTCAGTGCTTCAATAGCATTCACAGCGGGACTTCCGGTACTGATGGCTAATGGCAATGCACGTGGGAATGAGGCAGATAGATACCAAGTCTAGAGAACTGCGCCTCGCGCCAGCTATCTAGGCTCTCTTAAAGCTACCGCGCATAGAAACGCGTGCGGCTTTACTCGAAGGCTCGGCCGTCCTGGTAGCTCAACCAATCAAAGAGCTAGAAAACGAGTCAGAGTCGTAACCGTTGTTGCCAGGGTTCGCATTTATTTACCAACAATATAGCCGAGAATTCGGTATATCGATATATCGAGCTCGTATATCGATCTTTGCAACTGCCGAACCTGGTATATCGGTATACCGCGCTCTCATTTCCCAGGCTCGTTCGGCCAGCTCCGGATCTAGAGGTACAGCATCAAGGGGTGCTACAAGTCGCACAAGTACTATAAAACGCTATTTCTAGGCCTGCTGGACATGGCGCTAGTGACCGCGTTCATAGTCTTCCGTCAGTACCGAAAGGCGAATAACCAAAGACCCGCCAAGCACTTCGCCTTCTTCGAGACACTGATGGAGCACCATCAGACGATTGACACCCAAGAGGCCTACGCAACAATCGAGGTACGTACTATATTGACAAGTCAATATACGAGTCGCTGCAAAGAATTCTGATCCAACATAACCTTACCTATTGTATGTATCTATGAATCGCCAGATAGTTTCTAACGTTGAAACTGTGAGAAGTACATACCTTTGCAATGTAGTGAGAGGGGGGCGGAGACGTGCTACGACGCCTGAGACAGCGGAAACACCATTCCGCGGCACCTGTTCCAGGAGCACAAGATTCGCAACCGCCCGCCGCCATCTCGCCTATGAAAGAAACGCCGACGACGTGCTGAGGCAAGTGCGGCAGATGAGCAAGCGATGCCGGACGCTGCTCATGGCGCTGACAATGAAGAAGAGGGAATGGCTGGTGATGAGGCGTAGGCTAAGCATTCGTTGAAGTGCAGGAAATTGTTAATTGAAGCTGCATTTTGCTTTGTTTCCACTGGGTGGTGCATTTCATGAAATGATACTGATCACGTGTAACATTTAAAAAAATCGGGCAACCCGATAAAACGGACGGTTATACTCTCTTTATCACCATGCGTGGTGTTATGTGCTAAAAACCTTCCTACATAGAGTCAATTAACCCTTTCGCGGTAAAAGGATAAAGAAAGCGCCCTTTAGATGATTTTCCAAAACACGGTAGAGTGTACCCCCTCTTAAAGGGCGCATCCTGTGCCCTTTTGCACAGGTTCAAGCTAGTAATTAACCTTCTTGTAAAACAAATCATAATCGGTACGCAGAGTAATCATCATGTAATCATTGTCTATACAAATTCTAAGTCATACGCAAACATTCTATGTACTCTGCAAATCACCGTAGTAGATGGCATGTCCCATGAGACACACCGAAAAGGCTCCGTAACTTTGTAAATGGACGCCTAGAGCGCCCTTTTAGAAGGAAATATCAATGAGTTGTATACTACAATTTATTGAGGATACTCGTGAAAGGGTTAAGTTGGATCTGACAAATCTATGCCCCACACGAAACCTGTACTATCCCAGTGACATAGCGGTAGCAACCGTTTACTCCATACAATTTCGAATATATTAATATTTGGAGCAGGGGAAACTATACACCTCGTAAATAGTCCGGGAATTGAGGGGTTAAGGTTGATCAACGCCCAAACAACTGGTGCGTAAAGCGTATAAACGGTAGCATCAACCAAATCCCCCACCGGCTCAGACCGTGATCAAGCCCGACAAATTCTCGGGACACCCTAAAGGCGCACAACCCCTACACCGACGGGTACATAAGGTGAACATGATCTTCAGGCCATTCATGACAAGCGGAGTACCCCTCCATGTCATCTTCATGAATCCACTACCCTTCAAACGCCCTACGGCCCAAAAATATTTCGCGAACATTGCCAGTGGACAGGCTATTATGTTATGGCTAGATTTTGATTAGTTCAGGTTTGTAGCTCGCTTTTTTTTCGGTGTTGTTGTTGTGTATAACTCTCGGCTTGTATTGTTTGGTGTTATGGGATGACGTTACGAATAATCTATAATAAATTTATTGTAAGAACCGGCTAAAACGCCCACCTGGAGCAGCCCCTTATTAGATCTCAATCGCAAAATTACTCAAAGTACAAATCAGGGTTTAAATCGATTGTGATCCATACGCATCATCAGGCTGCATGATTGCCCAGTAAAAGGCGGGCATTCTGCTCCAAATGCGTCTATATCGACTGGTTTCCCATAGATCGATCGTCTAATCTGCAACATATGCATCACAGGGACGCAAACGATTTACAAATCGATCGAGCTAAATCAGGGTGCTAATCAATCGATTTACGACCAAAATAGGCAAATGAAGCGGTTTTCACAATACCGACTTCGTTTGAAAACGAAGGTAGATGATTGGTATTGTTTAGATCTTATTGGGATTAGGCAAGCAGCTCAGATAGTGGAATTCCGAATTGATCGAAGATAGACGCTAGCGAGAGGGATTCCACAAGGTCACACACCAACTCCGGTTGAGTTACTTATATTCCTATCCATTTGAGTTTTCAGTTTGGAAATAACTCCTCATTCACCAGACCTGCGTGCTAAATGCTGGTCGTAGCCTCCTACAACTTCCCTCTTTTGTTGTGCATGCTCTCAAATAAATACGAATAGTTTGCAGTATTATGTATTCGGTGTGTCGTTTTGATGTTGGAACTCCTACATGGAGCTCCGGCTATTGTAATGAAGCCCCTCTAAATTCATTTGCATGTCACTTTCACTTTGCAGGTGAGGTATATTAAGTTCATTTAGCTAAGCTAACGGTCTTCAATATTCGTTCCGATGTAATGGCCCATACCGTCCATCCCGGCATTTCATTCGCACGTCGGCGGAGGCGCCGGAGCATAGTTCGACTATCTATTACAAACCATGTGCTTGCGTGTGCGATACGCGGCCCAATCCCAACAATTCGACAGCGGACCGGCTCGCCTAGCACTCCTTCCCGATGCTCGTGGTGGCCCTCGTGGTGGTGACTGTCTACAATGACGGTGATAACGTCTATCTACTGTAGCTCGACGTGTCTCTGCCGGCGCTTTGGTAGCTCGATAAGTTTTATATGCTGTTGGGCGGTAATTACTGCAAGTACTAATAGAGGTGGTTGTGCGGAGAAACAACGTCAAGCTCTGGGCCCCCTCCTCGGTCCACGAACAGTCGCCCATGGGGAACCTGAGAACGATCCGCCGCAGGAGAATCTGACGGCAGCAATCGCGGCCGTGGCTTAATGAGAGGCAGGCCAGATATTTCGGTCCGAATGCAGACCCACACGAGCACGAGATTGAGTCGATTCAGCAGCTCCAGGTGGAGGATGAGCAGCGTCGACGTCGTCAGCAGTGGCAACAACAACAATAGCAGCGTCGCCGCTGGTAACGTCAAGCCGGTGACGAGCAACAGCGCAGGTGACCGGTCGATTCCATAGAAGATAAGGAGGATGAGACTCGCCGGCGGGAGCTGGATGAAGGCAAGCTGTCTGCCTGCCACAACCGACAGTGTCATGCTGACGATGGGTCCCCGGCCCACTGCGGCCGACAGGGTCCGGTGGATGACTACCAGCCGCGACGCGCTCATACCTGTCAAGAGCAGCAAGCTTGTCAACCGCAGTAGCGAGAGGAGACGTTGGCCCCGCACAGTCGCTGACCGCCGAGCAGCAGCGTCAAGTTCCTCTCTATCAAGAACGGCGTGTCCTCGAGTCCGAGCTGCTCAATCACAGAGAGTTGCTGGGTGGTGCACCTCATGTACACGCCTTTCAGCAACCTCGTCAGCGCAGGAACATACAAAATCGCTAAATAGTGCAGCGACCTCGTGTAAACGATGTTCAGGGGGACCATGATCCCCCGCCACAAGAACAGCAACTGAATCCACGGCAGCCGAGCATCGCGCCTCACGCCCAGCCTGTTGTGGTCATACAAGAACTACCACATAAAAGGTTGCAGCGCGTCCGGAGATGGCAGGCAGCTCTACACCAGCGCCGTGTTCAACTGCGGCGGGAACTGAGAAAGAGGATGAGACTCGCCTGCAGCTCGCGGGGGGGGGGGGGTATTGATTTGACTGGAGTCGTGGAGATTTTTAATTTGACAGACGATGAAGGTCGTAGGAATCGAGGAAGAGCTCGACAGCGAATGGAGCAAGAACGGGTCGATCTATTCGAGTGCATAGTTGGCGTGCAGTACAAGGAGCCCACTCTCGATCCACTCAGCGCTTTGCCTCCTGACGTGGTGGCGCAGTATATCCCTAGACTACGGCAAAAGCAACCTAATCAATACCGGTTATAATCTTATCACCTTGTTCCCCTGCCACTGTCGTTCGCTTCAGCCACCACAGATCTCAGTCTAGACGTTACGGTATACCGACCACCGCATCTAACGTTTCTTCTCTGAAGCTGCCGAAGCGCCGGCGGCTGCATCTCGAGCCGCAGTAGATAGACGTCGTTATTGTTGTAGACTACCACCACCACGAGCGCTACCACGAGTGGCCTGAACTTGACACTGTGATGTGTAGGATGCCGCCTCGCCATACATAAGTGATGTCCACTGCTCCGACATAATTGAATATCGCTAGCATGACCCTCCGACGATAGTGAATGAGGGGTTACGCCAAGCTGGAACATGTGCTATATACCCTCGACAATGAAGATGTTCAGTCACCCTTAATTGCAAATACATGTAAGCGCCTAACCTTAGGTGTTGATTTATGACCCAATAGCCTGATGCCAATTACAAGTGATTTATGACCTGGCAACGGATAGGCACGATAAACTCCCAGTACCACTGGAATTGAAGCGTAGATCTCGTATCGATACGAACAGACCAATCTGACTAGAGATCAGATTATTTTCCACTGTTACTTATCAAACGTTGTTCCGCATTAGCTGAAATAAAAATAAAATTAAAAAAAAATCTTGTGAACCATGCTGTTCTTTTTCGATATTGAATGTATAATGTGTGTAGCGGGCAATTGTTTGTAGCTGTAGTATCCCTACCTGCGCTTTTGTACTACCGCCATAATGCTTAAGCAGAACCGTTCTGGCTCAGCGCCTTCACCAACTAGCCTTCTGTGTCATTCATGTCGTAGAAGTGCTCTCGTCAAATGTAATAGCGTGGCAACACTAACATCGGCACCGCTCATGATACGCAATTATAAACGAAGAGGTTCACTCCATTTGATAGTATGCTGTTGTTCACTGTATTGATAGACGATGTGGTATGATGCGTGAAATATGCTATGCTGCATGGATATCTTTGTGTTTGTCTGTCAGCTAGCCTTTGTACTGCATTTACAAGTCGATTGCGCGCAGGCTTTAGCCGTGTGTACGCTGTCAATGCAGAAGGTAGCGTGGAATCGACAACATCGCCGCGCTCAGTACATTCATGGAACTACGCGATTAGGCTACCCAGCTTTCCCAGCTTCTGCGTATGCCTAAGTGCCTAAAGGCCTTCAAAACCGTACCAGCCGCCACCGCATATGATTCATGTGGCTTTAAGAAGGCAAGCACGCTCTACTGTGATCTATGTGCCTTGTCTCCGACCTCCAGCACGATGCTCTTGAATGCTGTGGTGAAACGTGTTTGAACGGTCGTGGCGCTAGCGTGTAGTATCACTAGTAGTAGTAGTAGTTGACACGGGTAGCCGACGCAGATACTACTTGCTCATATGAGAGCCACTGGGTTTTGATCCCAACGCCTGAGAAGCACGACGAGATTTCATTTAGATACACGAATAACAACATGTATGAGTACGAAATAAGAGGTAGGCAATCCGAGGTTGAAAATGTCACGGTATCTTTTGTCCATGGTGCAGTATGTCAATGTCTTGATTTTGCTGGTGCAACGTGCGCAAGTTATGCTGGTCTCGGTTAGCACGTCAATCAAATTACGTGCAACACGTGTGCCTGCACACGCAAATTTAAATGTATGTTCCGGTTCTACTGTAAAAACTGTAATTATGCCCCCTCTCTCTGATAGTGCCCCACCCCATGGAATTTGACGTCTTAGTGCCCCACCATCAAATAGAGCCCCACCCTAACCTTTTATCTGAAAAATTTGAGCTTGATTCTGATTTTTCCATAAAATTCCTAATACTTCACATCAAAATCTTAAGGTTTGTATGTCGACTTACCAATGTCATCAAATTAATGTGTCGACTTACCAATGCCAGTGATTACTGTCAAATTTATTCTGTAAATAGACTTTTTAACGCTAGTTAGTTTTGGTGCCCCACTCCCTTTAATAGTGCCCCTCGTAATAATGCCCCAGGTTGGCAGGGGGGTACTGTTGCAATACCCCACGGGGGTAATTACAGTTTTTACAGTATGTAAAAAAACAATGAAGTACAAAATACTTACTTGGGAGTGGTTACCCTACTCGTCGGGATCGTTCGATCTGTGGGATCTCCATCACAATTTGCAGGATCTCCCTGTCTGGGACATAAAACCAGCGGTTCATGATTCCTTCTTGAAAACGTGTCGAAAATAATATTACAGTTGTGCCCTTACGACGTTATATGTACCCAACGTTCCCCTCTCACCGCGCTGGATCAAGTGCTCCAGCAGATCATATGCAATCGAGTAGCCAGTTACATTATTAGCATATTTGCTCACATAAACGAACGTACGGCGGTTTTTAGGAAGGACCCTTGTTGCGAGAACGCCCACGTTCTCACGTGCAACCGGGAATACTTCGGGGCACTAATTTCAGCGAAACACTTCTTAAGTGACTACTATCTGCCCGTGCTGTTCGAAGACCAACCGATAGGTCGACACCACGCACCTTTCACTTGTTTGGCAGGATACTCTGATGACGGTGATTTAGTTCTACTTGTACAGTGCCGAACGCCCATCGGGGATACTTCAGCTTGTCTGTGTCTGTCTTGTAGTTTCAGTGTGGTCGAGGCCCTGGTGTCCTGCAGCAGCATGCACGGGAGGATGGCGCCATCCGGGACGGTGGGGTATACTACAGGTGGGTCCCGCAGAGCTACCTTATGGAAGTAGATAGCCAATTTGGCCAATGAATGTACGAAATCTTGAATGATATATTGGGATCCACAGCGAATAGATTAAATTAATGTTCATGTCTAGTTTAGTCGGGAAACTGAAAAAAAAGAAGCTGCGGCTGCAGCGAGGCTTGGAAGCTTGCTGCCGTCAGTTTGGTATAGAATTTGATCGGTAGATTAGTAGTGAATTCCCCCAATCAGTATGCAATGAACCTTCAGGTGAAAACAGCAGCAACAATAGCCAGGTTTGATATTAGTAAAATATTGCTGGCTTGTAGTTGATGAAATTGCGCGTATCGATGTCAGTGTTAAAGGCTACATTGGACAAAATAAAAGGCAGGTGGGCGAAACTCTAATCTACCCGCTGTAAACTCAGGTGTTATCTACAATTAGTCTACATCGCGCTGCGTTTTAGCTGTAGGCATGCTGTTGTCTCTACGGCTTGTCTGGTCGTTGCCTAAAGGCGCTCCCTATGAACCGGACTATCAAGCGTGCTTTTCTGGTCAATGTCATTTTTGAAGTTTGAGGAAGCCGATATTCTACAGCTGACTAAGGGTAAACCTTAAGTTGATTGTTGAACCTATATTAAAACCAAATTATTTAACCCAATATACAACCCCTGACGTGCTGAGATAAAATGGCTCGTCAACGGTTTACCTTTGCATGATGGTGTATTTTATTGTGCAACGTGCGTAAGTGTTTGTCGATAATGGATTGGCTTTCCGCAATTCATAGAAAGACGTCATGCTTAATCTATGTAATATTAAAATTAAGATATGAATTTTGTAACTTGTTAAGCTCAGACTGGGGGGCCAAAAGACCGAAAAAGCCCCGGGGTGGGGTTAACATTATTATATGTTGGAGTACATCAGCGCATATGTTGTGTGGTCTAGTGCGGTAGTGCTTATTCAATCGATACGTAAAAGAAGAGGGCAGGTATGTAATGTAACAAGACCTTCACAGCGTTGATCAACAACGTGCTGCTTAACCCTTTCGCAGTGAAAGGGAACCTTTTTTGCACATTAACGTGTTTGCAAAACAATAATTCCTCGATTTGCGGTCTAGTATGAACTGCCTATCGACTTTCCTCCCCCGCCCCGCCCGGAGATCTGAATGTCTCATGTCCCGCCACCGACGCTTCCCCCGCCCCCTCGTACAGTGGTTCTCCAGAGCCAATGCCAGCATCGGCTGAGTCGCCGAAAAATGGCCGCACTGCCTGAGCAAGAGCCCCAACCACCGGCTCCGCCCGCAACGCAGTCGTCGCTGCGTCACCGGTGGACCCAGCTCCGCCCTCACCAGCACCGTCCTACCGCGAAGATGTAACGGACTGTGCCGACTCGCACAAATCGCTGTAGGCTCCTAAGGAACGGTCGCGTGGCCTCCTCCCCTATCCCGATACCCTAGGCGTTCCCCGGCGCTTGTACGCTGTCGACCGACACTACCAAGGCCATTCTGTATGCAGCGAAGACGGCACAGCGCGACGCAATCCAAGGCGCTCCATACAGTATCTCGGTGCGTGTGTCTTTCTCCCTCTTTGTTGTGGCTTGACCCGTGATGGTGCTCGGTCTAGCGATCGTTAATGCTGGGTTCAGAGTTCCACTGCAGCTCGTCAAAATTGTCCCACTTCACGAGGAAGAAGGCTACGCTGTTGACCTACTGCTTGGTCCACAGATATGTCACTGCGTACTCTTCTGCAATAGCAGCGGTAGTGTCGGCACCAACACTTTCTTCCGTAGAAAAATATTAACTTCGTTTTCCCTCGCGATTGCTATTGTCGCCTTCGTCTTTTTCGTGGATAAAGGGCGCGGGGCCGGTTGCTGTGGGTGAAAAAAGAGACCACTGATACGCTAAAAGCGAGCGGTTTGGCGCTGGCGCGAATTAATGGGAACCGTGGTTTCGTTAGCTTGGAGCACAATGAAACGTGAAAGCCAGTCTGAATGGAAATTCAGCACAAACCGTAGCGTACGAAGCACCTTCACCTTCCGGAGTTTCAAATGAAACGTGAAAGCCAGTCTGAATGGAAATTCAAATGGAAATTCAGACTGGCTTTCACGTTTCATTGTGCTCCGGAAGGTGAAGGTGCTTCGTACGCTACGGTTTGTGCTTTTTAGCATAAATAATATGAAGTGTCATATGTTATATACTATGGCTCAAATGATGGTAATGAAGTGATGACAACAAGTACTTTCCTCTACAAACGTATTGAATACGAATATTTGTGAACCCAAATGAACTCATGGGATGTCTATCTTTAGATTTCAAGATCAACTCGCCGAAAACAGGTATGTCAGTTTTGCACACACCTTCGAAAGCATGTGAAAATGTCCGGGTCAACAAAAGTTCAATGTTTTTACACGAAATCATAGCGTGCAAACAAGAGCGAAATTTTCGGTCTTGTATCGATAGAACATCGCAGTAACCTTTATAGATAAAAGATATCCGACGGTTTGTCAAACATCATTTTATGTTTCAGTTTGGACCACCAAAATGACCCATACATTTTACGTCTCAACACAGCCAACGAGGCGCATGTATTACCGGAATACCTCGAGCTCTTAAACTACTTCTTGTACTACTCGAAATGGCTATCCACGTTGTTGACAACTTCGGCCTCGCTTTCCTCCGCCAGATCCTCAACCGTCTCGTAGAATGTCAAGTCGGTGTTGTCAAAGTTCCTAGTGTTGAAAACCAGGAACACGATTTCTCGACTGATGCAGCCTGAAGGTGGTTCCTCCTCGCCTGAGCATCGACAATCTTGTAGACCGAAAAGTTGCTGTCCGCATCCGCACTGGAGCAACTTGCCGAGAACACTGTCAAAGCGATTTCACGTAGTAGAGGGAACTGTGACATACCGTTCCAGTATTGGATAACGGACGGCTGATTCTTGTGAATGAGCTTGGCTTCATGTGAGTTGTCGCGCGGGTATCCCAGATACTTAGTCATCCCCATCGTTATTGCTTCCTCGTTTTCGATCCCGTTCCACTCCGTACTGAAGCTCTGGTCCCGTCTATTAGCATTGTACCAGCGCCCAGGTAACGCGTATCCAGCGTGTAACACATGCCATGTCCATCTCCGTAGACAAAGTCGAACTGCTCCTTTATGATCTGGGTGATGTTGCCCAGCTCAGATTTCGGATTGGTAAGTTGGAACGCAACAGCCCCGGATATCCATAGGTCAAACAATCACATACAAAATAACTAGATACATTGGTTTATGTACGTCTGAAGCGACAGCAGCTTGTCCACTTGAAGCAGCTCCTCCTGCTACCACTTCCTCCCTTGGGCACAGCGCTCCATGTCCAACTTGATGCCAATCGGGCGCTTCTCCACAGCGTCCTGGTGCTGTTCCATTTGCAGGAGTGAGCAGCCGATTTCGACCTCACACTCGTCCTTGGCGCGTACTCCAGTCGGCGACATTTCTGCTCCAGCTCCGCGAAGGCGGTGCTGGCTTCTTCATCCTTCTCTTCTTGTGCACCCTTGTCGGCTGAATGAGCCGCTGAGAAGCGCTCCAGCTCGGGTCAACCGCTTGGCTTGCCCATTGAGCACCCGGACGCAGCCTGTCTCGAAGTCGGAGTTGTAGATAATTTCGGCCCCAGAGCTACAATATAATACAAATAAAATAATATCGTTGATTGTACCAATAACGCGTAGTTGACACAAGCGAACCCAGATAGCGGTCCAACAAGGGCTTCGCGGCGATGGGTCCGTCGAACTAGACGTGGCCGGAAGAAGGTTTGCGTCCGTGCCTTGGAATGCCTTCAGCAAGGACGTCACGCCCTTCTTCAGCTCGTCGAGCAGGTCCCGCAACCGCCGCTTGGATGCTGCCGGAGGAATTAGCGTAGCCAGCACTTCGTCCTTAGCGTCGATAAGTGGTAGAAGCTCGAAGTAGCTGTTCGCCATCGTAATGGTCGATCCCCAGTGAGTTTGCTGATGGATGATTGGTCGAAGGTTGGTCTTGAACCTACAGGCACCAAAGTGGCGATTTGAGTTAAAATCATATTAAATATCAGGAAATATGCAAGTACTAACCGGAGTTTGCAAAATGGTGGAGGGTCCGTTGCTTGACCATCAGCGCCTGCACCATGTCACCGCGCATTCGCTTAGCCGTGCGGCGACGGCTGTGTTTAGGCAGTGACTTGCACACCCGCCTAGCAGCGTTGCAAGGTGGCGGTTGACGCCGCAATTATCTTCCACCAAAAAGAGAGCCTGGTCTAGGTGCTTCTGATTGTCGCGGTAGCATCGTAGCCAAGAAGGTATGACGGATACAGGAGCCGCGGAGAAATTGTCTGTCTCATCGTTGACAAGTGGATCCATGCAGAGTAAAGTCCATTCTCAACCGGGTTTTTCCATCATATGCGACGAAATAGCCGCCCCTGATTGGTTTACGGGGTAGATGGTCGCACGCGACGATGTACAAAAAAGACGCTTATGTGGCGATGTGGAATTGCTCAAATCGTCGCACGACGATAAATCGGTGTCGCATGGAGAAACACCAATGAGAACGCGGCTAGATTTGACTAGAAAATCGCAAGTTCGACAAATGCATATCCTGTAGTAAAATGCACCGATGCGCTCGCAAAGGCGGTCGTAAATTGCAGAGCCGATTTTGGTGTCTGCCAATTGCGAGTGATTTTGCTAATGCTGCTTGATGCACTTCTCATCGTTTTCATACCTTGTACAACATATCATCGGATAGCTCGTTGTATCTATTGTGGTTTCGGCTAAGCGGTAGAGTTCCAATCCTCTCCGTAGGCTATTGGCTGCCGCCTAAACGTGCCTACTTTGTGGTTACATGTTGCTGATGTTCTAGGCGCTCACAATCCCAACGCAAATCGAGGTGTAGGTGAACGCATAATTGCTCTCAAATTGCGAAGAAATGTGATTTGGATGATTTTTTAAGTCCCCCAATGGCTCTATTGTATTTAATCATTGTCCTTGACCAGGGTACTAGTTGATATTAGAGGTCAATACTTCGTTATCGGTAATAATGCGTCTCCTCCGTCGCGTGTAGTGCTGATGCCTTTTAGTGCAGCTAAGGGGAAACCCAAGCGTGCGACTTCTACCATTTTTATTCGAGCCAGCGTCGTATCCAGATCGAGATCACCATTGGCTTATTAGTCAACAAATGGAAGGTTTTTAAGAGGCCTCTCTGTGTGAGTTGTCGAACTCAGTTCATGTGATTCACGCTTGCATGCGGCTGCATAAATTTAGTACTGGTTAACACGCCATTGAGCACACAGATACAGTCAAGCGAGTGTTCAAAGTGATGCGTCACGAAGTTCGTATCTGGAATGGAAGTAGCAACCTGTCCTGCCCTGAACCTCAGTATGAGACGGACGGAGGGAACGTAATTGAGTTGTTAGACAAGTTCACCCGCAAGTTCGCCGTTCAGCATCGTGTCCACACCCGAAGCGCTACCGCTACGGACTCACCAACCCAAAAATTAGAGCTGGGGTACAAATTCTTCGTTAGCATACAGATTCTTCGTTAGCATACATGTATCGCTTGTGGCCAACATTTGGGAAAAACCCTTATTTCTGAGCAACATCCCTGAACTCTGGACCGAGTGCCTGACGTGTGATATGAGGGGCTTGGGGTATCTGGTATGAACAGGGTGAAGCAACGAATTTCATAGGCGTGGTGTCACCTACCGCGTTACCATAAAACGGTCAATCTACCGAGTTACCATATCCACGGTCAACATACCGTGAAGTCCCATAGCCTGCGTCCACGAGCCTGCACCACCGTAACGGGACCGGCACGTGCTCAAGTGAGGCTGCGCCACCGTAACGGGACCGACAAGTGCTCAAGTGAGGGCTATTGTACGAACTCACCCAGGTCTAAATCGCGAGCATAGCCGACATTTTCAGCAGCGAGACTGGAGCGCTTCCTAAACTAACGGAAACGCTGTCGCAAAACCCAGTGTGTGTGTCAAATATACCCCAATTTGCTTCGCATTTGATACTATGCATCAACCGGACCAAAATCAGCACATTTGAGTACATGGCTACACTCCATCAAGGTTTGGTGGAGAGGAGCAACAGCATTTCGGGTTGATGCGAGTGGCCAGCAGCCGGCAGCTCGTGCTGGCCAGCGAGCTTCAGAAAACTCGTATGAAGAAGTGAGTGTTACTACGCCTACGGTTGCGGTGTATGCTTAGATTTTATCGCAATGTTCTAACGGTTGATGCATTGATCAAACCTTCTAAGGCGCCTCGGCACACTCCAAATGCAAGTCATGATCGTGGAAGGTTTATAGCAGCTGTTTCCGTTGATCTCCAGTCATTTGAGTGCTAAATAAAAGGCGTCTAGTGTGCATGATGTGGTTAAGAGTGGAGTTAGTAAGCCTGGCCGGCCGCCCAACTTCATTTTAAGCATGCTGTACTCGCTTGCTTGTTGGATTATTACACGGTAGCTGTAGAAAACACAATTTTGTGCGAGCTTTTTGGAGTTCCTCCTGCTACATTATCGCGTGTCCTAGCTAAAGCGGAAACTGTACTTTGTGCCTGTCTTTACGATCTACCAAATGCAAGCATCCGATTCCCTTCAAAGGAACTGCAACTCGAATGATCGCGTCTAACTGAAGCACGGGAACCGCTGGTCGAAGGAATATGGGGCTTCGTTGATGGCACGACTTACCGCGTACAAGAACCGACAAGGGTTGACTTGCTAAGTGCTCGTAACAACGGTTCGTAGCATTCTTGGCAAATATTTATTTCTTAAAACTAAGTTGGTTTTGTTGGTTGGCTTCATAGCACTTTGGTGACCGGTACATTGTGCTACGGTGTCGATGGCGCATTGGTGTGGGGGCGCCATAATTGCCTGAGTACATGGAATGGTGGCGAAACAAGCCGTCAACTACAAGAAAAACTCGCCGACCTTTACTTTACTGTGCCTGGAATCGGTGTTGCCGCCGACTCCGCTTTTCCAGTGGCTCGCGAGGCAATCGTCAAGATAGTCGCTCCGCTAAAGGACGGGGATGTCGACCAAGCTTCGGCGGGTTGCCGTTTAGAAATGATCGCTTTGCACAACGCAATAACATCTCTGCGTCAAGCAGCTGAGTGGGGGATGGGATCAGCTTCTAAGTGTTACAGTCGGCTACTTCTACCTCTACCGTATAATGCCAACAAACGACATGTGCGCCTGGATAATATCTACAGGCTGTACAACTTTCGCGTGCGTCGCATCAGATTAGATCGGTCTTAAGTAAATCAACTTCAGCCAGGTTCACATTTTGTATATATATTAGCTACTGAGCAGCTTACCAGCCGTAATCTATTTCTTAGCCAAGCGGCAGCAAGCATGGTCATAAGCATTTCATGACGCTGAACGTCACGCTCGACACGCTCGTTGTTGAGGCGCCCGCGTTCTTCTTGGACTCGCAGCCGGTCTGCTTCACGCTGGGCTTCTCGAGCCTCTTTTTCCTGGCGATACTGGAGCTCGCGCTGGTGGGCACGCTTCTCCATCACAAGCAGTAGCTGTGGCAGCTCCAGGCTTGGCTGCGTCCTCGTTTCCAGGACGCTGTCAATTTTCATTCGCGTTCTGGCTGTCTGAGACATCGCCGGGTTATCGTCGCGCTGTCGCTTTAACAGCTTTCTGAGTTGTGCCAATTCCTCTGGGGTTTTACCGGTGAAAGACGGTGCTTTTAATTTACCTACATAATAATAGATCATGTAGTTCAGTAACAAATTATTAGTGAAGCGTGCACCAATATTGTATATTAACCCCTTTGGTCCTCGTGTCAGGCACCTTACTATCGGCACGGGGCGCATCATGGTCCTCAGAAGTTGTGGTGAACGTGGGAGTAGCGCCATGAACGTCCGCCTCATCACAAGCAGCATGAACCTGACCACCCCACTCAGCGATATATCCTCATCGGCCTCCGCAACTGCAAATCCTTCAGCATCAGCGGGAACAACAATTTTAGAAGGAACAGCATTCTCACAGTTGGTCTCAGTTGAGACTGAGCCGTGATCATCATCATCTAGGTGCACCACGCTGCATTTGCCCTCAATCTCTCTAAATATCCTTTTAGCTCGTTGAAACATCAGGTGGGCATGCGGGATCACCTATATAGTAGGCGATAACGTCAAACAAAATATTAGTATATCATGCATAGATATAACGTCACAGCATAGCTTACCTGTCGGTCTCCGCGCATTCTTCAGCGCGTAAAATTTTCGCCGCAGCGACTCCATGTCGCGCAATTTGCGGAGACAACCCTAACGTCTCCACAACTTACGACAGATTTGCCACAAGAAATACGACGTGTCTGTGACAGTAGCAGTTATAGGGTTTGTGTGGGTTTTGATAGAGCTCAACTATCGTAGCATCTGAAGGCGTTGGTACGAGCACCCGCAGGACTCCATGCTGTAGTCGGACGCTGCAGCCTAGTGCGTCGTGTTGGTTGTTTTCCTAGCAAGCCGCGACCCACCTGAATTCTTATTTGCACATCAGCAGTAAGAATACTAGAGCTCCGTTCTAAGTATGTAAAAGTAGAAATGAAGCCCCATATTGATACCGTACCTCATAGTAAATTGAAAACTCGCGTACGTGTATGGGAAAAATGGATAATGAAGATATACACATCTTGAGGGAACTCGTAACGAAAGGTGAACTTGGTGACGTGTCATACGACCGAAAACTATTAGTTACAAAGCTCGAGGCTCCGCGCAGCCTTTATGTTATGGGTGGATTTAGTGTTTTGGAGGCGGCTACAAGTGAAGGACCGCTGCTTGTCTACCGGGACACCCACCAAGCGTTAGTTCGCATGGAACACGGTCAACTTGTACCTTCCACAATTGCTCACCTACACCAAGAATTCAAAAGGGACGACGTTCAAGCATATATTAAGGAGCAGGTTGAGGAGGAAATAAAGGTGAACGGTTCCGCTCTGCATGACCGGTGCACCTGGCATATTCCAGCGTACAAGGACCACTTTCTTCTGGTATAGTAGCCAAGACTACTGTTTTCCACGCGAGTGCTGTTTGCGATCGGGGAACCGTGAAAGCCCTGCTCATGTCGATCATGGGTGTGTTCTAGCGTACATCCCTCCGTCCCTCTCCCCAACATTAGAAACTTGGGTATATTTTAAAACGTTCCATGCGGCGAGGCTTTTTTTGTTTGGAGACGACTCACCAGACTTTAATCGGATGGCCCAACCCCCCTACTGTCGTAGTGGTACACCATTCTAGCCTACTTGGATACGAAGATGAGACACCGATTAGCGTGCGCTGGGGGGGCATCGATGGGTTTGTTTTTATTCTTCGTGATGATATGGTCAATTCGTACCGGTACGCGGCACAGGTTAACACCGGCGGTCGGAAAGGCTGTACTGAAGCCTGGTCGCGTGTGCTCGTCGCCCACAGTGCCATTGATGGGCGTGTTTACAGCGGAAGCGAAATTCACCGTTAGATAACCACCTTTAAAGTGTCTATGATGAAGGCACACCCTAAGTTTCACGTGCGGAGGAAGAATGGCCAGGAGTCGAGAAAGCGTAATATGAAGCGTAAAGCAAGTATTGCATACGCTAGAAGTGTTAAGTCGAACCTACGAGATGCTGGTAAGTAGAGATCACACAATACGGCAGGAAAAAAGATCTTGGATATGCGATAAATTACACATACGTTGAATGAGAAGATAGATGGAAGATGTGTGGTGAATCCGTCCTTCCAACTTCTCATAATTTTAACATGTGACTGCGGCAAACAAAACATTACTTGGGAACCTAAGTACGAATCACAATTTAGTGGCTTAATCGTGAAGAGCGCTGTTTGGCGCACATTTTGAGCCCTTGTTTGCATCGAAATGTTGACTTCAATTATTTCTCAAAAAATGCTTAGCGTACATTATCGGAAAGCTCTCGCTAAAAGCAATCGTATTAAAGTGCTTTCCGTTTTCTACGAGTAAGTTTCACTTTCAAAATTTCACTATCCAGAGTACGAAATTTGATTGGTCAACTTTAGAGCCGACTATCTCGATAACTTTGAATGGCGCGATTGTAACATTTTGTTCGCCGTAGTTTCAAATATAGGTGGCTTGTGAGGCACTCTGCAAAAATGACGTGTGTGTCGTCGGCGACGGTTAAGCTATCTACCGGCTGATATGCGTACTTGGCGAAAAGTTAAAAGAATACTCTTCAAAGCACCTGATTACTGCATGAGCACTGTGAGGCACCCCGCATTCAATTTTACAAATTAGTGGTGTGGTGCATTTCAAATTGATGTATGAGCTGTTGGTCAGACAGTTGTCAGCACAGTTATTTTAAAATTGCTACCTGTTAGGAACTACTCAACTAAGTGCTTGATTACGCATTTTTAACAACAGCGTCATAACCACATCATCGATATATGTCTGCAGGCACCCTGTTCGCAATTTTTTACATTTGTGCAACGTTCTACGGCTTTGGTCATCGCATGTGTGGTTGTCCATTGAACGGAACGTTTTCTAAACATTTTCTTGCATCGAATGAAATGATTTTTTAGTGAAGAATCTACAGAAAGGATAAATCTCGTCCGCCAATACTAAAGAGATGTACCTATACCTGCGTCATGCAAATGGGAGTGCGTGCCCAACACGCGGTGGTCAGCCGCCCCGGTTGGTGTTAGAAGTGGCACCACCGGCTGGAGTGTTACCTCTACCTCTACCTGAAGCACTTGTGAGAGGTCCACAGCCCCCACGGCGGGAGCCGCCTCCACGTCCACCGCGTCCACGCCCATACGTAGCAGCAGAATTATTGTTGACGGCATCCGAACCAGTGTCACCGCGGTATGCAAACTTTCTGCGGTCCTTCCGACCTGTAATGCTTACATTTCGCGTCTTCAAAGCAACCACAAGGTGGGCACAGTTCCCATACTTGTAAGATGCCCGGCATGGGCACGTACGCTGGGTAATGCTCACTTCCCACCCCGAGATAGGCTGTCCAACACACTCCATCCTGCGTTTGTTTACTTTGCCCCGGCTTTGAACATCTACGAAGTCATCGGCATTCTTAAGGCTGCACACGATGAGTATATCATCACTTGTTTCCAATTGATAGAGTAAAAATCGAATATCAAACTTTCTTTCCGTGATTAGCAGCGCCGGTGACTTATATTTTCTTGGATCTGACCACCAATTTCTTGGTCAGCCGAGCCTTGGTTGAAAACGCAGTCGTTGCAACGGGCCGAAATCTTATCAACCAATTCTCCGACTTTAAGTCGCACCTTCAAACTGTAGTCGCGCTTTATCAGCTGTTGAAGGTTTCAGCTGGATTGTTTGCCTTTGCGAATCCGACTGGTGAAAAGAAACACTGGCACAGGGAGTAACAGGACGACAGCCACTAAATCTCGAAGTAAGTGTTGAACTCTTGTAGTCTCAATGTCCGACCATCGCGAGAGCGCATCCTTCTTAACAGCTTAGTAGGGCGTTGCTACGTACGTAGTGCATTTCGCAAATCAGACGATAGGCCGTGTGAATTCCGTGGTTGGACACTTTGAGGTCTTTGAGTTTATCTTTCACATTTGTAATAACGTGAAAGAAGTACACCAAGTACGAAGATTCCATGACAGGTGCGATCGCGGGTGTAAACGCATTGTACTGTGCATCTTCCGCGTCCGCCATGAAGTACTGGATCTGCCCTTCATGTTCCACCACCTCAATAAACTTGTCCGTCAGAGCACGCAGAGCTGCAAAATACTGAATCTCCGTCCTCTGACAAACAATACAGAAGGCTACTGGATGAAAGGAGCGTGCTGCGTCCGAAACATCACTCACGAATAGCGGAAATTTATTTTTTGTCCACTTGCATGTCGCATCCATGTGAAATACAAAGGGCGCTGCATCGCGGTCGAGGTTGAGCAAGAGCGCTTTGGTGGAGAAGGCCAACACAAAGGGGTCCTCGTCGATTCCATCCCCTATGATTGGATTGCCGCCGCGGTCAACTTGGTGCCCAAATGAAACAGCTGTGGTTCCGTCAAGATTGGGGATGTATGGTGAGTTGCGAGCTTGAGCTGCGACATCCTCAATGACCACTGAGTGAAACAGTACGGACTTCTTGAAGTTGTAGACGAAGTTTTGGATAGTTTTCAAAACAGGCACTGTTGCCGCAGTTAGACCGAAGCGATCAACCATCTCGTTTCAAATCCGAGCTGGTTTAATGAAACTGCGGGTCATGCTGCGGACCTCTGCTTTCATGGAACAGGTAAAAGGTCGAGGGGGTGGTGATCCGATAGGACTTGAGTATCGGCCGTACTCGTAGAAAGCATGGGTGTCCTTCTGCTCTCAAGAATGGGCCCGTACATAGTAAGTGCACTGATCTCCGGTTGCTCGACATGTCGACGAGTTGCATGACCACACTTGATAGAGCATTTTATGGTGCAGTCTTGGCAGACTTCGTTGGGCTGCTGCTAGAGGAGGAAGTGCTCTTGGGGCGTTTGCTATTCCTGGGCATGATGATGTTTACTCTGTCAGAATGAAAATGGCCAGATGATTTCTTTCGCGTGTCACCAGATATATTACCGTATGTCACTTGGTGGCAAATCTGATTTCTATCAACACAAAGCCATCCGTGCCACCACGAGACGACTAATGTGGCGTGGCGTGACACGGTTAGGAGCGGTCTTAGAATTGAACAAATAATACTTACGAGTAAATGGATCGTCTTATCTTTGAATTGAACTATTTGTGAACGAATTGATCGCCTGCAAAGTAGAGAAGATAGCCTGGGGCATAGACTATGGTTGGGCTTCCCTGTTTTCTGACTGAATTGTAGGGATGGGCAGAATGACATTTGAAAGACTATCTGTAAAGGAGCGAAACAACTTAGGTCTCATATGTATTTCTAGTGAAAAGCATCTTGAGCATTTTGTTGAGAGTGAAGCGTTTACATCAAAGTACTAGGTATTACTTCAAATTGAGACCTCATGGAGAATTTATGAGTATTTGAAGTTTTTTCTGCGCCTGGGCGCTAATACTATCATTAGACACTCGAGCCTCTAGCTATCCTCGTACTACATAACAATTTTGGCCTGCATCACCACACCAGCCCAAGTACGAAGTCTGTACATTGATACCGTTCGAGTATCCTTGGTGCCATGCCCTCCACCTTCAAGGAGCTGCATCGTACGACCGAGCGCTAGACGCTCTGATGGCACTTAAGCGCTACACCAACCAGCTGAAACATTGAAACCAATCTCGACGACCAGTGTCATCTCCAGCTGCGCTATCGTCCGATCCTGCTACCTGTACGCTGCCAGCACCACACATCGCCGCTGCATCGGCATGCAAGTCTGCGGCAACATCCACGGTTGCAGAGATTGCAGAGTTGGTGTCTGTCTTCCCAACTCCGACGACTTCGGATACTGCACCGGGGGCTCGTCCACGTACAAATGCAGAGCTTCTCGATACTATCGACCTCGTGCTAGGTGAGGGCGAAGCGCACGCCGCCGCTGAGGTTGCGACAGCACCGGAAGCTCCAGCAGCAGTAGTTTCGAGACCTGCAAATTTAGTCCCCATAACAAATTGGGCTGTGAAGAACCCTGGTAAAGCGTCACCGCCGACGTGCAATGACTAAGACACTTGGACTGTGGTGCAGCTTCGTGAGGAGTGCATGGAGAGAAGGCTACGTCTAACGAGAGCAATGCCAAAATCAGAGCAGGTTAAACAGCTGAGGGCCATGATGCGGCTCGCATGGCGGTCCAGTCGACGGTGGACGACGAGTACCTGATCGAGCCAAGTCTGCGGAAGACCAAGCATTGCGGCATCCGGCTGCTTAACATTATTTTCTCGGACTATTTCGCTTCCCGAATTGCTTCTTCGGAAGACACTGCAACCCGTGCCGAGATAGATGCTGGTGAAGTGGGCTACAGAATACGGCTTTGGAAAGACACTTCTGCAATAAAAAGACCGACTATAATGGGCTCTTCGTAGTCGACGATCCTCGTTTCGAGGGCATCAATCTAGCCTATATCGTGATGCACGATGCTGCACGTCTGTACGACATGTGGAAAAAAGTGATGAGCAAATATGGCAAGGCGGATGCCAAGATCTTAGTGTCTGGATAAAACTCCGAAGAGTTTTTTTTTTACTTTTACGAGGGGAGTTTGGATATCCTATATCTCAAAGCGTGTCTGGACATTAAGCCGGAGCTACGAGACTATGTTCGCGGTGGAATGCGTCAGGAAGGCGAAGTGGCTTCGCTCGACCTGCAGTATTCCATTCACGGCACGACCACCGGTAGAACTTCGAAATGGCAAGACGGCATCCTAAAAACTATCAATCGCCTGGCCGATATCGTCGCTGGTGGCCGAACACCTGCTGCCGTTCCTGTTGCCGCTCCTGTTGCCGCTCCTGCTACGAATGTTTCTGCGGCTAAACAAGCTGAAGATGAAGACATGCTAATCGATCGGATTGGTAAGCTGCACCACCTCATTGAACAGGTCAAAGAGCGACAGCGTAAGGTGGAGCAAGAGGGACAAACGGATACTGCGCTGGCTAATGGCCTTGCACTCTATCAGCAGCGCTTACAACTCTATGAAAGCCGTCAAGCGGCTCTTGAATAAGGCGGCAAACGCTTGCATTCAATTCAGCTCTCGCAAAGCTGACGTAGGATGAAACACTAGCATTAAAAAAAGGATCAACGAAACCTTTTATTTAACTTCAAAACGATACAGTACTTCTAGTTACCCTTCTTGGGCTTCTGTTGAACGTCGGATCCGATTGCGTTGGGGTCGCAGCACTGCATCACGCTCTAGAAAACCGACGATAGCGTTACGAATCCACTCCGACGAATTGTACGTGTCAGTATCAGCTGCCAAATCGGAGGCGCCGTACTAGCGACGATAGCGAGAACTATCTTGCGAAACCACTGATAAATCCAGCGGGGGTTCATCGGCTGTGGACACTGCTGCGAGTCCATCCATCAAGTCTTCACCTTCTTCGACCCGATAACTTGCACTCTCGATCAGGCATATGTTAATGCACCATTGTGCAAAATACACGCTGCTAGTATCGTCCGTGGCACACGCCGGAATGCATTCTCTAGTTGTGCATTGAATACACGTCATTTGCAAACGAGCAGTCCAAAAGCCATTTCAATCCGGATGCGAAGTTGGCTTAGGTAGAAATTTAAGCTGTCATGGTATGCCGTGGTGATTCTTGGGCGAGGAAACGGGGTCAGTAGCTTGTTAGTGTTCGTGTACGCGTTATCGCCCACCAGGTATAGCTCGTTCGGAAATGTATCCACCACAGCAGACAATCTCCACTTCAAAAAGGCCACTGAATCCCCCGTTCATCCACGACTCGAACAAGTGACAGCAGTAAAACGGCTCAGGTGGTCACAACAGGCTTGCACATTTACTCCATATCTCCGATAATGTCCAGAAAAGAATGAGCGCACCCTCGTAACTTCTTTCTTCTTCGGCACCTTGATTGGACACAGCCATCCATCTACAGCACCGACGCAACCTTTTATGACCCTGGAAGTGCTGAACTTCTTGAACCCACATGCAGCATGGCGTTGTGCAGCAAGCGTTGTAGGCAATTGTAGTTGCAAGTCTGGATGCGCGATAATGGCTTCTACAACCTCATGGACACAGTCGAAAAATGCCGAAACGCTGACCCCACTTTTAGAGCGAATGTCGTGGTAGGATCCGCCGCTCAGTCACCGCAACAGCATGTGCAGCTTGTTGATATGAGTTACAGGCTCGACGTCAGTCCGATTTCGGGACTGCTGCTCGTTCACAGTCCGATATGGCTCCAGCTTAGCCGCTAAAGTCATGAAGGACGGGCGGGGCATTTTGTAGCACTTCTGGAACTCTCTTTCTTCCTCCAGCAGCTGTGCGTGGGTCTCCCAGTTGAGACTTTCGCGCTTACGACATCGACGGCGCGTGTCAGGGAGGATCACCAGGGTCAGAACGAGCAATAGCAAGCCGAGAAGCGCAGGCACTCGCGTCTCCATCTGCATTGTAGCCGGCGAAGATTGCTGGGTGTGGTTGTAAATTACGGCAATGGCAGGGTGGCAAAGTCACTTTGCGTGGCACCGACCTTTTGCCGCGAAGACATTTTGCCCCTAGCCCTAAAACCGTGACCAATCACGTGAGCTTATTTCGCGCCATGGCAGCCCTTCATTTGGTAAACCACATTATTGTGCCTCTCATTTAATTTGCCGACGGCAAAATCGGACTTCAAGTCCGATTTTCATTTACAAGGGAGATGATCAGTAATTCGTTATAGTTTAACCTGCCCGAAAAGCGGAGTCCGTTTTTCGTATGCCTTGTCCCTCCGGTTTTGCTCTCGTTTTCGCTCAAAGTCCCGAATGGCGGTGATTTGTTTGCCATCTGGGGCTTTGGCTGGAAAAGCGCTATCGCTTTCTTTTGAAAAGCGGAGTCGGAACACCATCCCTCCGAATATTCAAATTGGGGGTGGAGCCTCTTATTTTGCTTCGTATCCTTAACTCAGTAGTAAAAGTGATAGGTTTTGAGGTCTGTTTAGCCAAAAAGGCACAGTACTTAAGTACTGGAAAGTACTAATGGGGTACACTGTACCCCATGGGGCACAAATCACAGGTCGTTTTTGCAGCACTTGAATAGGCAACCCGGAGCGTTGCTCCGGGAGGGTACACAGGTCGACGAATAGTTTCATGGACGATGATAACGGATAATAATTGAGTAAATCCCAAAGTTGTTTTTGTTTTTAATCATTAAAAGCACTACCAGCCCAACTCTCTAGTTGATTCTAACGTGGGCATCTACTGCGCCTGCTTCGCAGCCGCAGCATCTGCCCGAGAATGCGTACTTGAACAAATAGTTGCGCACATCGAAGTGTATCGATACGGAAATGATGTTTCAGCCAAACCTTTGTGAGGCTAGTAACCAGCAAGCCCCGCTCTTCTTTATTGTGGTGGGTTCTCAGGAACCGAAAGTCACCAATTGAGGTGCCTGGTCTGATGAGGCCATCGGTGACATAACACCCTGGTCAGCGTCCAATGGCTGCGTTGGCGCCAGCAACGAGAGAGCTATTTCATTCATTTTGCAGGTAAGGTATACTGTGCTCATTTTTGTACTATGTTGTGTGCTAACGATCAGACGAGAGAGCTACCGTAGCGGAGCGAAGGAGAGACGCATGGTGCGCTTATCTTGACCATTTAACTTGAGGATGTTAGCTAAGTGACAGCAACGATCCTCAATTCAAAAACAAAACAAACAAACAAACTTTTAACTTGAGGGCTTGGGGGATAAATCGCGGAATGTGATATACGCTAATGGGCCAATTCCTTGGAAGTGGGTGCTTCAACGCAGGGAAAAAAGTCTTATTCAAACGAGCGTTGCTCGTGTCACCGTCGAGTTGAGCTGATTGGTTTGGCGACAGACACGAGGTTGGGCATCTTCGGCTAAGAGTGATTGGGTATTGAGCAAATTGACATGTAAAAAAATGCAGCCTGCAGCTAGACAAGTCATGTTGTTCATCTTCAGCTAAGCTTGGTCGATTATGGCTCAAATTGATACGCCTTCAGCGAAGCCATGACGCTACTAGAGCGTCCGTAAGTGTTTGAATGCAGGTTTTGGTCAATAATAAACGATTAGTATCAACCTTTGGTAAATAATGTGCATAAATCTTAGCATTTATCGACGGGTAACCCGATTCCGGCAGATATTATCTTAAACATTACAATTAAGAAAGAGAGACCCGGTTTGGTACCCGGTTTTGGAAAGTTACAAGTTTTTTGCCGGAGCACAGGTCTTCCACCTGTGAAAAGGCGCAACGATCCGCGATGTGGACCAGGTTTGACGCACCCCACAAAAAGGTATGCGGTCTTGGCTTGCGTTGCAGCGTAGATCGCGTGGTGTTCTCACTAGCTGGCGTCTATTGCAGACCTTTCATGTCGATTTCCTGGCTGAAGCCATCTACGAGCCTCGAGACGCCTTTGTGTATGCGGCTTCACTCAACCAAGTGGAAGTAGTGAGGCGTTGGTTAGTTCACCGCAGTGGTAGTGCATTGTCAGTGTCCTCAACGCTTGCAGTCCTACTGAGAGGTTTGTCGCTCTTTGCCAGGATCGTGAAGAAGTTGAACATCAATGAGCTGGACAAGGAAGGAAGCCACGCCCTGTACATGGCTGCCCAAAACGAAAGCCTCGAGGTGCTGGAGCTGCTGCTAACGAGTGGGGCAAACGTGGATCAACAACAGCAAGACGTGCGGTCATGGATGTTGTCGCCATTCTCTACTTCGTATCGTTTGCTGAAGGTGTAAAGCTGCCTTGAATGAAATCCAGGGTAAAACGGCGCTCCATGCAGCCTGCACGTGGGGGCGAATTGATGCGGCTCGCCTGCTGGTAGCTAATCAAGCCAGCGTCGAGTCGCGTGACAGCAATGTACGCTGGTAAAAAGCGCTAGACGGTGTATTAGTCGCTAAATGTTGGTGTTGCAGGGACAAGTGCCACTTCATTGTGCTTGCCGCAATGGGCACGAGGAACTCGTGCGACTGCTGCTCGATTCGGGAGTCGACCTCTTCGTTGCCGACGATATTGGGGCCACACCGATTGACGTTGCTCGAGATTGGCAACGTTTGGACATCCTTGAAATGCTCGCAGGTGAACTACGTACTAGTATAATTTCTGCTGACATGAGTTGTTCTAACCATTCGTGTTATGGGTGTACTGGAGGTGCAGCCTATCGTGCCAATGAATTCCTCGCGGCTAACCGAGAACGTGTCGAGTTAGCAGTGAACGGTCTGAGTAATCAAGTGGAGCTTCCGCTCGGTGTTCGGGACATCATTGCGGACTATTTGTGCTGATCAAGCACTGCTACAGCAAGCTCAAGCATTTGCGCACAGTAGTTCGACTGGAGTATTATTTGAAGGTTACTTCATCTTGACGCAACAAGCCCATTTGCACTATCCGCACCACTCCTATTCCTCGCGAGCTTTCGGCACTCTAGAAGCCTACTCCCTCTTGTCCAGGCGCACCTCAATCAGACGGCCTTCTATTTCCAATCCGTTCAAGCGCTCTGTAGTGCCATAAGTCGATGGAGATCAGTAAAGTAAACACGTTAATACTCTCGCAAGGCGGGGATTCACTTACCGATCGCCTGCCAAGCGTCCGCAGCATTCGTGTAGCGAATGATACCAAAGCCACGCGAACGTCCGTCAGGGTATTCCGCGATGTCGGCACGCTCCACGTCACCCACAGTTCGGAAGAGGTCCTTCAGCTGCTGCCAGTTCGTTTCCCACGGGAGCTACACAATAAAGTCAAACTGAAATTGTCAGCACCAATATCCCAAACGGGGTTGACCACGACAAAAGACACTCACGTTGCCGACGTAGAGCTGGCGACCTTCGCCGCTGCCACGGGGGGCAGCAGCGCGCTTGGCGAACTTGGAAATGCTGCCTCCTTCCGGTTCCCTGTCCTCGCGCACGAAGATGAGGCGGCCTTCCAGCTCCGTGTTGTTCAGCTCAGCGATAGCCTTGGCGGCTTCCTCCTGGGTGGCGTACTCCACGAGACCGCAGCCCTTCGAGCGGCCATTGGGCTCCTCCAGCACTAATCGCAACATCAACCCTCAGCTACTGCACCACTCTCAACCAGCAGCAGCGCACGAAATCCCTGTCGAGGTCTCACCGTCCGCATGCACCACAGTGCCCGCCTTCTTCATGTGGTCCTTGAGCTCCTGCCACTTGACGTTCCACGAGAGGTTGCCCACGTACACGCGGAAGCCGCGCTTGGGCTTGACCGCCGAGACCGGCTGCGCCTCGCGGTCCTCGCGCACGAAGATCTTGCGTCCGCCCAGCTCCGTGTCGTTTAGCGTGGCAATGGCGTTCTGCGCCGCCTCCTCCGTCTCGTACGTGACGATACCGCATCCCTGCAATACAAACACTCAGTTAGTCAGGTGCTGCAAGCTCCAGCGAATAGTCTCCACTCCGACGGCGACGCACCTTGGAGCGGCCGTTCGACTCGAGCACCGTGGCGAGCTCCACGGGTCCCGCGGCCTGCATGTGGTCCTTGAGGTCCTGCCACTTGATGCTCCAGGACAAGTTGCCCACGTACACGCGGCAGCCCACGGCCGCCGCCTGCTCCATGTCCACGTCGTCGTCTTCACCTGCAATACGTAGCACTCATCAGTACCTCGCTGCTCCAGAATAGGACCAGCTTGCTGCTGCTGAGTACCGTGACGCGCGTGCCTGGCCGGGTACGGACTCGACTGCGCGATGCGCTCGGCGCGTTTCCTGCTCAACAGCTCAGCACCCCATCAGTGCCCCCTCCATCCCCCTCTACAGAGCCACGTCAGCCCTCCACCCACGTGCTCTTAGCCTTGCCCGCCGCGTTGGCGGTGGCAGTGGCGCTGGCGTCCACCTTGCGCTCCTGCACGATCTGGTCCAGCGTCATGTCCAGCTTCTTCTCCGTGTCGTCCGACGCCATCGTCTCGATTGATACCTTCGCTTGTCACTTGGCAACTTGTCAACTGAAGGCGCATCAGGGGAACCAAGTGAATCGGTTTGGACGGGAAGATCGTGAACATAAAAGTGCATAGCAGCTTCTCATTGGCGCAAAAAGGCCCGCCGTCGGATAGACGCGAGTGATTGGTGGAAAGAGCTTTTCTGTAAAATGTGCTTTTTTGACAAGAAAAAAAAAGCACTCCACTTCAACTTGGCGATGCCAAGTCGGCGATGGCCGAGCGCAAGGACTCGATGAGCGCGCGGATCTCGAAAACCTTCGGGTCTTGACTTGATCTTGTCGCCAATTCCTTCTCCAGCGCCATCGCAGCATCTTCCAGCGGCTGATACAAATTGCTGTACATGCACAGATACAAATTGTCAGTCAAGTGACCCACTGAAGTTTTGGTTAGAATGGTGCTCACCCGAGAGCTTCTAAGGCTGTTGCGTGGATGGCATCTGCACCACAAACAAAACACAAATTAGCTTGGCACTTGGTACCGGTCATTCAGTGCTGGGCGTACCGTTGGCCGACGCCACGCTGGGAGGCCGCACTGCTTCCGGTGTGACGCTGGCGTCGTCTTTGGCAACGCCATACCCGCTCGTGAAGTTACTCAGGGAAACGTCAACTGGAATCTGGGCAGGAACTTTTACTGGGCTGACGGCTGCTGCACTGTAGCCCATGGTGAACGCGCTCATGGACTCGTCCACTGACACGTCTGACGGGGGTGCAGCTTTGGAGTTTTCAGCTTTGATTTCTCCGCCGTAGCCAGCGGTGAAGGCGCTCAAGGAGGAGGCCACGCTTGCGTTCACGGCCACGCTGCGCTTCACGATATCCGCGTTCGTACTGTCTTGAGAAGGCTGAGGAGAGGTCTTAAACCCCATCGTGAACGAGCTCAGAGACGCATCAACCTCCAGCGTCGGAACGTTTGCTGGTCGAGACTTAAAGTCAATTGACTCGCCAACCTGCCGTGTTGTTTGCGAGCCGTAGCCCTGGGTGTGCACACTCAACGATGCAGTTACTTGATCGTTCACTGGGGGTGGCATTGGCGGTTCTTGACTGTTCAATACACCCAGAGCTTGATCCACCAAGTCATTCGTAACTTTATCGGCGTTTTCGTCGCTGCTACTGATGCTGCACTCAGCCACCTGCGTCCGCAGCGCCTCATTTGAGTTCACTACCGAGTTAGAAGAGGGTGTAGGTGGCGTACCAGCGACGTTGCTTTCAGCAAGTACTGTGGCTTCCTTGGTAATTGGTTTAGGAGCTGGAATCGACGATTTGAAGGCGGTGGAGCTCACAGATTTCGCGGTTGCGGGCACAGGCAGCGTTGCGGCAGAATCTAGAGTCGTTTTGTCTTCTTGCCTTGGTTGTGCTGGGGGCGTTGTTTTCTGAGCCGACTTGAGCAAACCCAGCTGACTCAATCGGGTGTTCATAGCGGCCACTGCGTTTGCCGTGTCCATCTGTCTCTTGCGCTTCTCCAACTGCTCCCGCTCCAACGCCAGTGAGCTTGACATTTTGGGGCTGGCATCTAGCGCATCAACAGACAAGGCGATCAGCTTGTCCTTCTCGGGAGTAGTCACAGATAACGAGGTCATGTTCGACACTAGCAAAGGTACGTTGGCGTCGCCATCTCTCGGTGTACCGACTTGTTGGGGCCCCGTTTCATTGCCTAGATTAAGAGTAGCCTCTTTCGTTGGCAGCGACACAGCTGCCTGGCCGCCCCATTTTCCATGAGCGACTTCTTTACGATCATCTGCATCAGCTCCAAGCGAGGGGTCCTCGACCTGGTTCCCGGCAACCGTTCCAGCTGCAGTCTTCGCCCAGTCCGGTGTTTGAAGGCGGTCGATCAAAAGGGTGCCATGGTTAGTCGGCGCTTTAAATTTCAACTCGGCGATGCTGTCAGTATCATTCATCACGTGAATCGTTGGTTTTGCTGATGCTCTGGTCCGCATCCAATCCTCCATGGGAATACCCGCCATCGGCCCGGGTACGGCTACACCGTTTCCCTTCCATTTTGGAGGTGATCTCTTCGGAACGGGCGTTGGCGAAGTCTTGGTGGGGGTAGTAACAGGAGCGGCACGCTTGATCAATCCAGAAATCGGGGGTGCTGGAGGTGGCAGCGCAGACGGCAGGTCCCCAGCAATTGTATCTCTTGAGGGAGCTGGAATTGGTCGCTGGATATCCGTAACACGCGGCAACCTCGCTTTGATCTCGGTCTGAATATCGTCAGCAAGTCGCCAAACAAATACGCAGCCATCACTGCTTGCCGAGAGCAACCGCCTACAGTCGGGTGTGAATTTCAGCGCTGTGACTGCCTCTCCATGGCCCGTACCGGTCGCTAGAGTTTCTCCAGTAATCATATCTATCACGTAAATTGTTTTATCAGCTAGAGATCCACTCATGGCTACGCAGTACTTAGCGGGGCAAAGCGCGATGTGATGCTGCTCGCCAACAACAAGTGTATTCTGCTGCCCAGTACTAGTGTTGATAACCTCCAGCTTATTCGTGCAGCACACCACAACCGTATCCGTATCAGGGAGCAAAACCGTGTCAAAGACTTTTCCATCGGCGATTGGCAACATTTTAGACTCGACCACTTCGCCCTTGGCATCAAGTTTCGAGATCGAAACCGCGTTGTCAGCTCCACAGCTAGAGAGCGTGCTGCCATCACGAGATAAGGATACACCTGCAACCGCGGCTGAGTGGCTCTCCAGCGTGCTTAGAACAGCATGCCCCCTCTGACAATCGTACACTTGGATCAATCGGTCTTTCCCTCCAGACGCCATGAATATAGCGCCATCAGCGTTCCGTCCGCTGTAAGCAAGGCAGTTCACTTTGGAGCTATGCGCACCGATTCGAATGACAGATTTCTCCAATGGCACAGGTGCCACCACAACGTTCCCGTCTTGGTCTCCCGAGGCGATTTCCCTTTGATCTGAGCGAACGGCAACAGCTCTGAATCCCTTGTTCCTTCCCAGGTCGGTGGGTGGAGAATGTACACTGTAGCTAGCCTCGTGGGAGCATGTGCCTCCAAGTACGACGCACTGTTCGTCTTCGAAGTCTCGCACATGATCATTGTAAACTATCCCAAGCATTTCCTGGCTGTAGGGATTTTTCCAATGCTCGTGCTCCGACACGTCAGTGGGCTCGAAACGATTCGACTTCACTGGTCGTCGATGCAGCTCGAGGTGCCATAGTCGGACAGTATTGTCGTCTGAGCAAGTCACAAACGTCCCAGTCGGGATAATATCTGCAGACACCCCTCCAGCTGAGCTATCATCACTGTATACCAGTTTCCCCTTCGCATTCACGCCTCGCACAGAGCCGGCCACCTGCAAGTCACGAATTCCTCCACTATGATACAAGAATGATCGCTCAAGTGTGACAGCGTCTGGATTTGTCGTGCCGTAGATGAAAATGCTCCGGTCGCTGTAGAATACAATCACATGGGAACCAGTGATGCGTGTGGCGATCACGGCCGGGTACCGGAAAGGCTCCGCTGGATACAGAACAGTAGGCGATGGGGTGCGATTCGGCGGGTCATTTGCGGCACCAAACGCCGGAGGAAAGGGTAGAGTCGCACGGTACTCCAGCGTCGCTGGGCTAAATAATCGCACAACTCCACTTGATCCGCCTACCGCCACATAAGACTCCGTAACAGAGATAGTATTTCCACGATTCGACTCCAACGACACCAACCGCTCCATGATGCCCGATGCGCCAAAGCAGCAGAGCGTTCCGTCCGAAGTGACAGCGAACGTCTTCAGCTCGCAAGTTCCAAAACCGCACCCAACACCTGTAAATGTCGCCGACGTCTTGGCATTCACGACGGCGTCTCGGTGCTGGAGCTCAGGGAGGTCATTCACGTGCAGGCCGGTCACCAAAAAGGACCCGTTGTCATCAAGGAACCAGTACTGCAGCAGAATAAAAAGGGTACAGGTTAGTTCCACAGCAATTGCTCTATCAGCACAACACTATCTCCACCACCTTGAAGTGTTTCTCTCCGACTGTGACGAAGAAGTTGCCCGCCTGACAGTAGTCGGCGTCCAGGATCTTGTCCTCCACGACGGCGCAGCCCACAGCTTCGACCTCCAGTCGCCGCGCCGCGTCCTTCCTCTTCGTCTTCAGCTCCCAGGCGTAGATGGGCTGGTCGTGCACGAGCCCCGCGGACAGCAGGAAGCGCCCGTCCTGGCTGAAGGCCATGCACGCCACGCCGTACTGGTGGCGCTGCAGCTCGGCGCAGAGCGTGCCGTCCGTGCCGTCCCAGATGGTGATAGCCGGCAGGTAGCCGCGCTCGCCGATGGCGAGGAACTGGCCGTTGGGCGAGAAGCTCAGGCACGCCACGCTCTTGTCCACGCGGTAGTAGCGCACCTGCTTGTTGCGCCGCAGGTTGTAGATCACCACGATGCAGCCGGCCGCGTACGCCAGCTCGCCCGAGACCGGGTTCACGGCCACCGCCGCGTTGCTCAGTGCCGTGAGCCCCAGCACGCGCTCCAGGATGAGCCGCGAGCGCGGCGGGGGCAGCGCAGCAGGCGCAGCGTCGGCGTCAGCAGCGGAGCTCATGGCGTTGAGCTTTATTGCTCCGGATCGGCGTCGTTTCGCGTCGGGCGCTTGCTGATTGGCGGAAAAGCGTTGAAGTCACTAACGCGAAGGAACGTTCCAGAAGAGTGACTTTTCATGGGATGGGGCAGACAGCTGCCCTGAAAGAGTACGGACAGGCACAATACTAGTCTCGACGCCATGCTGCCTCTGTACAAGCGCGGCATGCGCTACGCGTGGGTCCCGTACCGCCGGCTGCGGCGCGGCGCCGTGCTGGGCGGCGTGGCGGCGCTGCTGTTGCTGTTTCTGCTCTTCTCGCGGCTGCCCCCAGAGGCGCCGGAAGCCCCCGCCGCCGTCGCCGTCGTCCGCCCCAGTGTCGTCGCCCAGCCGCAGCCCGCGGCGGTGGACGGAGGAGGCGTCGGCATGGACGTGGAGCCTCAAGCAGCGGTTAAAGTGAAGAAGGAGGCGGCGGACGGAGGCGTTGACACGGACGCGGAGGCGCATGCAGACGCAGAGGAGGAGGAGGCTGCTGCTGTCCCTACTCCGAGTCTGGACGCCGGTTCTCATCAGACTCAGGCCCCGCTCGTGCTGCGACTGCTGCTGCCGCTAGTGGCGGGTTTTGTGTTTGGCTTCCTCGGGTCCGTCCCAGTTGCGGGCCCGACGAGCGCGATGGTGCTCAAGCTGGGCATCCAGGGCAAGTACTCGGCCGGACTGACGATTGCAGTCGGAGGAGCCATATCAGAAGCGGTGAGAGGACACGAGAGCGGAGAGCGGGTTGGTGAATTTTGGCTCTAATTGTGTTTTACGGTTTATTGCTGCTAGACGTACGCCGGTATCGCGTTCTGGGGCTTCGGCAGCTTCCTGGCGGGGGCCAAGTTCTTGCTGCCATTGTCCAAGTACGTCTGTTGCAGGATTGTGGTGTGAGATCAAGGCTATGACGTGCTGACGATTTGAGTTTTGCTTTATTTTGCAGAGTGCTGGGAGCGATCATGTTCACGCTCATTGGACTGGTGTTCCTGAAGGCTGACATGAAGCCGTCTCTGGACCCTGACGTCGAAGCCTCTCATGGGAAGGCGGCGCGACGACCTCAGGGTGAAGTGCTCAAGAACATCCTCATGGGACTCACGATGTCCGGGATTAACCCAGCGTTGCTCGCGTCCTACACGGGTGCAATCGCATCAGGTAAGAGCGTGCATGTTGTGGGGGTTCATTGATGTTTGGCTAATCTTTTCTGTGATGCGCCTTGTGTCGATGTTGCAGTGTACGGGACCGGCATGCTGGAGTTCACGCTATTCCTGGCCGTCGTATTTGCAATTGGCGTCTGCTGCGGCGTTTCAACGTGGTTTTACTTGCTACTTTCGCTGCTTAAGAAGTACAAGCAGGTTCGTGACTGTATGTCACTCGTATTTCGGTATTATGATAACAGAGCTAACCATTGCACTGCAACGTGTCACCATTTGTGCAGCGTCTACAAAACCACACCATCGACTTAATAATGCGTGGCCTGGGCTGCTTCCTGTTGACGCTAGGTATGTTGTGTGCCAAGTCAGCGCTGGACTACTTTATGTCAGTATCACCCGAGTCGAAGTAGATGATTCGGTGAGCCATGGCAGCCCACACGCTGCAGACCGATTCATGAGCAAACATAATTTACTAGGACAATCAATGGAAGTCAGATTTAGTGATACACGAGCTGTTTTGCTGATGTGCTTCCAGTGGCTTGAGTACACTATCAAAGCCGGAATTTTTGCTTGAGCTGGGGCAGCATTTCGAGGTCGTCCTTGAATATATCGCCCGTGGCTTCCAACAAGTTGAACAGTTCACGCACCTTGTCCGTTTGATGGTCGTCGAAGAAGTCCAGAATGAGAGAGAAGCGAGCCGTTTGGGAGAGCGCCTCCATGGTGGATAGAGCAAAAGCTGCTTGAGACGGCTCTTCGGGGTCAACGTCTGCTCCCTTCTGCCGCCAAGAAGCCACCAGCACTTCGACAATCTCCGCCATCAAATCCGAATCAATGTCCGGCTTGAACATCTCTGCGATCCGCTCAGGGGTGGTAAGTTGCAGATATCTGGCACGTGAATAACTGGGTCAAAGAATGACTTAACGACAGCAACAACCTAACGTAGTACGCACCTGAACTTGGCGTCTGTTGTCTTAAGGTACCGCTTCCAATTGCGGCAAAAATCCACCGAAGTTGCCGGTGGCACATCCAACGCTGGAGCCGTTGGCTGGAAGCGGCGTTCATTCGCAGGTTTCTTCCGGGTCTTGTTCTTCTTGTTAAACGAGATGTTGGTCTGCCTCTCGGCCCTGGAGAAGTCACGCAGCTCTTTCTGCGAGATGGGCTTCAGATCTGCACACGCCACAAGATTCTACACAATACGAATTGCATTAGACAATAAAGATCAAGCTGCGAGTATCGTCGCGCTCACCTTGAACTCGTCGTAGCTGGCTGCGGTGTGAATGGCGCGCTTCTTCATGTCGTCCGTGAGTTTGTAGACCCGGTCATCCTCCAACGCTTGCGCCAACTCTTGCTGCAGTGCGGCCGTATCAAAGGTACCATGTTCAATGGACGTGAGCTGCTCGGATTTCTTCTTCACCATGTTGAGACTTCGTAATTGTGACGTTTCGCACCTCGAAAATCCGGAAAGTATCTTTGGTGTGCACTACATGTGTACAGGTAATCAGAAAATGGCTACATTTGTGCGCACGAAACGACGCGATAAGGGCGTCTTATGACACGCTAATCCTGGAGAGGATACCAGTTGCAGTGCGCTTGCTTCCAGCCATAGCCAATAGCAAAAATAGTAGAATGGGATAGGTGACAGCACGTCCTCCTCCGCGCTTACCTTTCGCCTTACTTTTGCCACATTCACATCGTCTTGCTGCGAAGAACCCATCGATTCTATCACCGTAGCTCCTGCCAGCATGGACCGCGGACGAAAAGCTATCCCCACGCTCAACAAGCACACGGACTCCAAGTACTACCAGCGATGCCAGGAGATCCACCGCAACAAGCTCTACACGATCAAGAGCGCCATCGACAACAGCGAGCCGCACCGCCCAACGCACCTGCGCAAGAACCTCAAGAGGGAGCAGCTGAAAGAAGAGCGCTACGCTGAGATCGAGCGTGAGAATCGCATCCTGCTGGAGAAGATGTCGACCATCATGCAGGGCGAGACGCTGGACAACAAGAACCAGTCCATCGTGTACTCACACAGTCTGAACAAGGGCCAGCGCAAGCGCGAGTTGCAGAAAATCACGTCCGAGAACCAGGCGATTCTGCGTCGCATCCAGATGCGCGAGCCCACATACGACCACGTGCAGTGGGAGGAAGATGCCAAGAAGAATGAACGATACGCCAACAACATCCGCGAGTACCCACCGAGTGCTAGCCAAGAACAGCTTGCAGAAATGCGAACGATGTCTGCGCATTCGATGGGCGGGACAGGCAAGGACTACTACTAAACACTGTAGTTTGCAGGAAGTGTGCTTCAGCTCAAATAATCTATTAACCAAAATTCTGTTTACTTCGAAGCGACTATTTTGCCATGTTAGGAATTGCATGCTACAGTAGCTCGACGACGGATTTCAAGATTGCTGAAATTTCGCAAGTAGCCTTGCTCTCTCCGAAGACAGCCAGAAGTTTGTCTCCCCAGAGCTCCATCGCCTCGTACTCCCTCTCGATCTCAGAAAGTGGAGCACGGCTATCCGCAAGGAAGCGATGGAGGATGTCTCGCGCCTTGCCGTCACGCCCTTCAGATTGGCCTGAACTTGAGGTCGGACTTCTGTTGACGAATGACTGAATTGGCCTCATCCCGGCAACCACACGATTCAACTGCAGCTGCACCTCCATAAGCTCGACTCCCATCGCCTTTTCAAGGTCTCCACGGAATGACCTGAGCTTCTCGTCAATTTCTGGGAGGTAACCTGAAATAAAAGAAGCCCGGCTTTCCTCGAAAACCGAAAAGGAAGTTGTTTTGTGTTTCTTGAAGAACTGTGTAATGACAGCAAACAAAGCGGTGAGTAACCTTCGTACTCGCGAAAGTGGACTGCCAACACAGTTAGGCGGCTTACCTGCTCAAGTGCTTGGGTAAACGAGTAGTTTTCTACCAGGTCTCGACACGCTCGTTTCACGACAAGAATTCGCAAAAGCAAGCTCGAGTGGATACGAGAAAACTCCATCTTATAGAGAAACATGTCAATTCGCTCCTGCATGCCCGGAACTTGGAACAACAGGCAGAAAAAGCGCTCTGCTTTGCCCAGCGTACTGACCGAGTCTTTGAAGCTCTGCAAAGCTTGCTTTTCTTTTTCAGTCGGGAAGAAGCGCTGGAGACATCCGAGTAGCGCTGGATTAACTACTCGCTCATCCAGCGTTACGATGTCATTCACAATTTGCTCGTAGTGATCGTGGATTTTGAAGCTGGCAAGGGCGAGTGCCAAGTTGTTCGCACGCTTCAGCTCAATCAACTGAATGTTCTTGGATTTACCACGAGGTGAGGATGCTCGAGACTGTAGCAAGTTCAAGAGTAACCATTAGCGACAGCTCAGCACGCGTATAAAAGAACGTATGAACAAACCTTTTCGAAAGAGCCACTGCTGGAATCTTCGTCAACGCCTTCCGCCTGCAGGAATTTCTTGATCGGGCTCTTCGATTGAGGTGACGGAACTAACGTGGGGCGAGAAACTATATCATAGACAGTTAGTTTTGAAGGTCATGCTTCGGCAAACAACAAAATCGCACCGTCTTGAGCAGGTGGAGCAGCAATGTCGACGGACAGCTTCAATCCTGTTCGAGCTTCGTATTTCGACGGCTCTGACAATGGGGCCACTGGTTGTTGATGAATAGAAGCAGACTCAACAGTGGCAGGCGCTACCTGCGATTCTGACTCCAAGTGAGTCTTGGTGATGGAGTGTTCCCTTGATTCTTGATTGGGCAAGTTGATTAGTTCAGGCGAACACGGAGCGGATACTGGCTGGCATACTATAGTAGGGGTCGAGCAAGATGTTGCTAGCGAGCTGACAGGCGATACAAGAGCTGTTTGAGACTTCTGCTTTCGAGCTTCGGCCAATCGCATTCGAATAATCGCATCCGGCGCAAGAGATTCGAGTCGGACATCAGACGGCATTTCTGGGGACGTGTAGCTTCCGTTGACATTTTCATCGACAGGCTTTTCCCATTGTGATACGCCAGCGATTCGATTAACATAATACGGGTAGCCTTCGTCTGTGTACAATGTTTCCCACTGTGATTCCACCTGATGCCGCAACGTTTGCTGAGGATACGAGTTATTGGGATAGTGGGTGTACTGAGCCCAAGCTGTTGAAGGTGCTGCCATGCTTGAAGCACTCGTCACTCCCGCACTGGTGTTTGGCCTTGTGGTTGACCAGTACGCTTGGACAGGTTGCGCATACTCCGGTCTCGCTGGCATTTGCGACTGCACCCCATATTGAGAAGGATAACCATTTTCGTGATGATAATAATTCCAGTGTTGTCTATCAGCGTAATGAGAGTCACTTTCTCGAATAGAATACCGTTCAAACGGCCGGACACGCTCACGATCCAGGCGTTCTGTTGCAGCAAGTCGCTCGTTGTAGTGAGGGTACGCTCCGTGACCGGGAAATTCCCTTGCAGAATAGTACGAGGCACCAGTCCATCGTGCAGTATATCCACTTGGCGAGAGAGAATTTGAGCGGTGTTTTCTAGTGAGCACATCACGGACCTGCTCGCTCGGTGATAGCGGCATCGGGCTGGTAACACTGCCGCTCGCCACATAACTTGATGACCGATGCTTGACCGGATATGTTTCGAAGTCATCCTCGTAGTGGTTGACTTGGCTGATCTGTGCGGGTTTGGCAATTTCAGGGTTGACAAATTCTGGTGGAATGTGCTCTTCGATCCCCTCTTCAACTACTTTACCGTTGTCTGTAAACACGATGGTGCTACGATCCTGTTTGGGTCGCCCAAGAAGTGCCGACGCAGGCTCATTGCGAGAGACTGAGAGACAGGTCTCTTTCTCATTAGTCAAGAAGTACTTTGCAATGAGCTCGGCACATTTCTGCTGCTTCTCACGGACTGCAATATCGTAGGGGGTCTCCTCATGGATGTTTGTTGCGAACACATTAGCCGCACTCTCGAGCAACAATCTTACAATCGGTTCGTTGCCTGATAATGCTGCGTAGTGCAATGCTGTGTCGCCGTCGTGATCTCCAGAGTTAAGCACAGAGTCCCCGCCCACATCCAGCAAATATGCCACGCAGTCAAGATTTCCTTTCGCCACCGCACAGTGCAAAGGAGTACGTCCAAACTCTTCTACGACACAAATATCAGCTCCATGGTGCAGAAGAAGCTGAAGACACGCCAAATCTCCGTGACGCGCAGCTACATGCAGAGGCGCGTCGTTGTTGGGGTCGATGTGGTTCACAATCTCCGAGTCCATGTCACTATTTGCTGCCGTCGAAAGGAGCAGTCCAACACAGTGAGCATGGGATGAATTCACAGCGACTTGCAGTGCTGTCTCGCCGAATTCCGGGTGAGGATCATTCTTTGCCCTTCGAGAAAGACACAGCTCAACCAGCTCTGCGTTTCCAAGCCGGCACGCGAGCATTAATAAAGTATCACCGGTTCCGCTCTCAAGTAAATCGATAGGACAGCCGTCTTCCAGACACTCCATAATATCATCAAGCCTGTCGTGGCGAGCAAGATTAAATATCCGATTTCTCCACACCGCTATCATACGCTTAGTCGGAGGTACGACAGCAGTAGGGTTCCCACCTGAATTGCCGTTTTGCTCTCGAGGTGAGAGAGCAGACTGCTTAAAATCTTCAATCGTACGCGCTGACATTAAAGATGCATCCGCCGATGGTTCCGAAGCAAACAAAAGTTCGCGAAGACTGCTGACCCAAATACGAGCTTCTTCTTTGCTAGCTGCCACCAAATCCAGCGTTCTTCCTCGCGTCACCAACGAAAAGCACTTGTCTTTCTCCTTGACCACGTTGCTCTCAGTTTGGGCAGCGAAGGCCTCGGTTCCGTGGCCTTCACGAATTTCGATGACAAGAGCCAAGTCAAGAGAACGCGCACTCTTTCTATCAGCAGACCCCGACGCTGTCGGATCGCCCCAGGTTACCTGCAAGTGTGGTGGATTGGTCACTCTTCTCACGGCAATCCATTGGCGTCGCGGCCCAGTGGTGCGCCCCATCATATTGTGCGTGTGATAAGGGATCTTGAAAAACAGCCCACCATTCAAAAGAACCGCAGGAATCGACTTGGCACTGAGAGGGCTTTTCATACTGGGGTGCGCAGTCTCCGATCTAGAGAAAATTGGCAATTGCAGAGGAGGAACCACCGCAGGAGGTACTGAAATCGACACGGTATCAACAATCTTCAACTGAAGGTGCACTTGCCCTGCCGACAACAACACCGGATCGTTGATATTTTCGTTGGCGTCATCACTTCGGAACAGAGGGTAATGTTGATCGTAAAATAAGTCTCCCACTTTGTCCAAAGGAACATTGGCTTCGCCCACCAGGATCTTGCTGCTTGTTTTCACTGCCACATGCAGAAACTGCGTCTCCTTTGAGCGCAACGTGGTCGTGAACTGCTGATTCCATTGCGCTTCGCTTCCACCCTTCTTGTGTACTTCTGTCCGCATCAAGTATGACGACCAGCTAGTTAAGGGGCTCCCATCGTTCACAGTCGTGCCATCAAACAGCCTCATCTCGAGCAAGCACGATTGGGTCCCAAACTTTTCGGCTTTGGGCAGGCCTGTTGCACCAAGCGCATTGATTATCAACAACAAGCGATCTCGTCCAAGATTGTTTGCTTGCTCCGCCACTGGAATCTCCAAGAGAATCGGACTCGCTTTCGCGACAGGGACTACTGCGGATTTCGTCATAGCAGGAGCTGTAAACGCACCATTGCTGGGGGCATTTCGCTGCACATTGCCACCAATGATCGGGTTGAGCGTTGCGAAGCCAGCCTCACTGTCTCCAGAGTGAATCACGACCTCGGATGGCCCTCCCAGCGCAGCGTCTTCCGCGTTCAAACGCCGCTGATCACGACCAGGTCGAGCTATCCCGGGCGTTTTAGCAGAACGGTCGATAGCCACTTCAATACCTTCCTCTTCTTCAATCGTGAGATCCACATCATTTGTTGATGTCTTTTCCCCCGACTTGTCCGGCGAGAGGTTTGCCGCTTCAGCTTCTTCTCCGGTGATGATCCCCGTGATGTCGCTCAGAGCGTACCTTTGCTTGGTGGAAGCCACCGGGGCGCCGCCTCCTGTCAAACGACTGAGGAACCCCTTGCGATGCGGTTTGTAGATGGATTTCTTCACGATCTGGTAGTTCCCCGCCCTGTCATCGCCATCGTCATCATCAGCAACTACACTATCGGCTGAGAACGCATAAAATCGTGCCTCAAGCCCTGGCTCCGCTATCGATCGAGGCTGTTTGGATTCTACAGCAGTCGAAGCACTTGTGCTCTCCTTCTCACGCTTCTTCGCCGTGTTGTCAAGAGCTGCAACGTCTTTTGCAGCCCAGGCGGCCTTCTCCTCCTTCGTCCTCGGAGACGCCATGTCGTTTTGCTCTGATTCTACGTCGCTGCAGTTGGCTTCCTCGCCTTCACGTCGCCCAGCGTCTCCATCCTCTTCCATCATGGCGACGGCAACAAGTGACTCACTTCGACGGCGGCGCGACTAAAGGAGAAAACGACCAAGGCCACAACGTTGGGCCGGCTCCTGTCTCGCCGTCCCGCGTACACCTACAACACAAATAGCTGGCACTGACCCCATCCAGCCAGCAAGCAGCATGGCCAAGCTGCATCGCATCGCATGGCTCGCATAACGGATCGCCCCAAAGTGCGCGCAACCGCCGACAAGTTGAAGTGACAATCACTCCTCCAATCGCACCTAAGCGGGACTACTCCCATCCCGCTCACTTTTTCAGTCAGCTCGTAACGACCGCACGTTCGCCTTCACTGATTTCCCCCCTTCATGCGACGCTTTACTAAAGCAGCTTTAGCGCAATGCTAGCCTCGCCAGGCGAGAGGATGAAGAAACGATGCAAAATGTTCAAGCGAATAGGAAAAAATAGCAAGGTATTCATTCAACTCCCACCCTCGATGTGCGGAATATAACCTTTTGTCTATGTAAAACAGCCTCACCATTTCTTCCTGGGGGTGTCGGTCTCGAGTTCACGGCGTAAGACGCCGCTTCGTCGCGAGCAACGAGGTCAAGACGCTTAAGCAGCCATCAGCTTCTTGAACTCGTCGTACAGGACGAGCACGATGGCACCGCCCGTGCCACGCAGGATGTTGGAGCCAGCGCCCTTGAAGAAGGCACCGCTGCCCTCGTTCTTGGCGATCTTCATGGCGCAGTCAAGAGTGGACGTGTACAGGATGTCCTTGCGGCCAGCCTGCATCATCATGCGACGACGCACAGTGTCGAAGGGGTACGAGATCATACCGGCCATCGAGGTCACGGTCTGGGCCACCAGCCACTTCTGCCACACGGGGGCCGTCTTGGGGTCCTTCAGGGCAACGTCACGCAGAGTATCGTAACCGCCGAAGAAAGCAGCACGGTACACGATGATACCGCCGACCGACACGCCGAAGCCCTGGTACAGGCCGCCCAGGCCGTCCGACTTGTAGATCTTGGACACGCAGTCCACCAGGCCGTTGTACATGCGGGACTTGCCCTTGCCAACGTCAGCGCCGAGACGCGTACGGGCGAAGTCAAGCGGGTACACGAACAGCAGCGAGGTGGCACCGGCGGCACCGCCCGAGGCCAGGTTGCCCAGGAAGAAGCGCCAGAACTGGTCCTTGGACACGCCGTCCATGAACAGCTTCTTGAACTTGTCCTTGAAGGCGAAGTTCAGGGCCTGCGTGGGGAAGTAACGGATGACGTTGGCCATGTTACCGCGCCACAGCGACTTCACGCCCTGCTCCTTGGACACGCGCACGAAGCAGTCCACGATGCCCTTGTACTGGTCCTCGGGCTTGATCTGCGACGAGGCAGCCTGCACCTGCAGGAGCAGCTTGACGCGCTCGATGGGGGCCACGACGGTCTTGGAGATACCGCCGGCGACGCCACCGGCAGCCAGGTCCATCAGGAAGGACACGGCGCCGGACTTCTTCTCCGACGTGGCGACGGGCTTGTAGGCAGACAGAGCGCTCATCTTGGCTTGAGGGGGGAGGGGCTTTAAAAGTCTTCTACGCGAAACGGAGAAAAATCCTAAATGATCAAAGGCGCCACCCGGGCGGCGAGCCTGCGGCTGCGAGGGGCCGGCTTCTCCGCCACACACTGGCCGTTTGACCCGGGATCGCACAGGGCGCGCGCTCATTGGCCAAAACTCCCGGTCGTTTTAAACTGAACGAGTGGCCACGCACGTCGGCACGGCTGTGTACGGTACTGTAGTTTCGCCTCACCTATGGAGCTGGAGCCCGCTATTCCTGGAGGTGGGGGAGGAAAGTGGTTTTGCTTGACGCGGGGGGGGGGGGCTATTTATTTATTCCTCGGAGTCGCCATGAATAAGAGCCTGGGACGCAGCGCAACAACGCTGGCGCTTCATTTTGCCGGTGGGCGCAGTGGCTGGATCGTCCTGATTCCAAGGTCCGGAGACGGCTGTTGTCGACTCGCGCTGGCCCTGCTACGCGCGCCCGCCATCGAATTCGGCGGGGCTCCCCGTTGCGCTTCAGCCGATGCCCACGCCGTGCACATCATGCACTGACGTGTTCACGGTTGCTTGGTCTCCTCAAGTACGTGGCCACTCAGGGCCACCCGATCCCGGCGAGCGCGATTGCGGCAACGGCACGTGCTGGGCTGCACCGCTCCCTCGCTGCTGGGCGGGCAGATTCCACGCGGACCGCGTGCCCACGACGCTCTCTCTTCTTCATTTGCCCACTTGAGTGAGCGTTCCACTACGTCGCAGTCCGTTGCCGACGCCTGCGTGAGGAATCACTGGTGTCCGCACTGCGATGCTTGGCTCTTGGTGTCGCGCGGCATAAGCGCCGAATGAGACCGTGCTCGGGATAGTTCAGCCAGCCAAGCGCGCTTCAGAACAGACGGCAAAACCTGCGACGGAGCAGCACAACAGCCGAGGCGGAGCACAAAAGCAATGGTGTCGGCCATGCGGTGCTGCCGCTGCAAGTACGTGGCAAGTCGATGCGGTTTAACACCGCGGACGAGCTAACTCGCTCCAGTCGAACAAGATACGCAACATGCGGCCAAGCACCACTGACTGCATGTCTATGCGGTGACAAGCATCACCGGACTGGGTTTCGACACTTGACCCGGGCTGCAAGATCTCTTCGACTTGCGCGGCTTCGTCTTCATCGTCGCTGCCGCCGACGCCACTCCAATCCGTAGCCAATATGGTGTCGGTCACCTTGGGTCCTGCTGCCAAATGGTCGTCGATTTGCCGCACTTGATACCTCGCTTCCTCCCTCCATCCATTGAGTTGCACCCTCACGTCAACAGCCTTGGCCGCCGGCGATGATCAAGCACGCGGTGGAGCTGTGGATCGCCAGTATGTTGGTGGTGGTGGCCCACGTCAATGTCGCCAAGATGCCGACGATCGCCACTCGAGCAGCGAGGCGGCTCGATCCCCCGTTGCGCTTGAGCTCCTGCGCCTGCTTCTTCTGGTTGGGCAGCAGCACCAGCGTGACGAGTCCGACCAATTGCACGCTTCCTGCGATGAAGAGGCAGTACGCCACCTGCCAGCGCACGTGGGGCGTGTCGGAGGCGATGGCAGCATCGGACACGTCAAAGTACGCGTCCACGAGGTTCGTCATGCTCTGTGCGAATGGCCAGGCCAAGTTGTGGACGGTCGTCAGCAGCGCGTACGTGGCGCCTTCGAAGCCCTGCTCCGCAATCTCCACGGTGACGAAGCCCGCCACGACGCTGCGCATGCCCTCCGGGATGGCGGCGAGTTGGGGCCCGCCAAGGTAGAACCATTGACTGCGTACAATGTCGAAGGTGGTGACCAGATTCACCCCGACGAAGACCACAGTGGTGAAGAACGAACATATCAGCATGATCCAGCGCCAGCTAGTGTTGAGGAAGTACTCGCGCATTAAGAAGGTCGCGAAGACCACCAGCGCAGTGGAGACGCAGCCGGCCAAGCTGTTGTTGATCGGCGTGACGCCCACCCAGAACTCCTGAATCGCCGCAAGGTCCGAGAAGTTGACGGACGTGAGGAACGAGTGCCAGAAGTGGAAGGCCACGAGCTGCCAGATCGCGCGCTGCTGCAGAATGCGCCACATTTCGTGCAGCGGCGCGACTGGGATCGCTTTGCTCTTGCTGGTGTCGCTTGAGCCGGCGCGGGTCTCGTCGAAGAAGAGCAGAGTGCCGCAGCATCCGAGCAATGCCACAGCCGCGCAGCCCCAGAAGACGTTGTTAAGCGTCACGCTCCACGAGAAGGTGCCGCCGTACACTTGCCCGTTGAAGCTCAGCGCCGCGACGAAGCCCGCCATCAAGCTGGCGCTGTAGCGCACCATGTAGATCGTTGCTTGGGCCTGGCCGCGCACCTCCATCGGCTCGAGCTGCGCCATCTCCACCATGACTCCGTCGCACGCCACGTCCGTCATGACGTATCCGGCGCAAACCACGAGGAGTCGGAGCAGGTATCGCCCTCCGGAGTTGGCGGCGTCTGCGTTCTCCACCACGCGCAACTCAATTTGACGCGTGCGTTGGATCTCGCCGGCTTTGTAGTACGGCGCCTCGATGGGGTTGTACGCCAGCCCTGCGAGCGCGATGATGCTGATGATCCAGCCGATGAGCATGTACGGCTTCCGTCGATAGCCGGCGATCGGCAGGTGGTCGGACAGCAGCCCGAAGAGCGTCTTGTACGACCACGGCAGGCGCACCACCGTAGCGGCCGCCGAGACCTGGAAGCCGTCCATGTTGAGGTAGAGCTTGAAGAACGGGTACACGAGCGCCGGCAGCAGGCCGTTCAGGAAGCCGATGCACGCGTAGTTGACCAGCAGTCCGAAGCGAGCCGCGTCCAGCAGGTCCACGCTGCCGTCGTCGCTGGAGGGCTCGGACCAGCGTCTGGCCAGCGCCTTGCGACTCTTGCGCTGCTCCTGGTCGCTGGCCTCCTTGAGCTTGCTCTGGTATCCCTCCTCCAGTATCGACGCCGTGGCTGCCACGAACGACTGAGGCACCGCGATGGCCGAGCCCACCAAGGACGGACCACCCAGCAGCGCGTTGCCCTCTTCATCGCTCCGCGACCGCGTCGCCATTCGCATCCAATTGTGGGATACTATAGGTAGACCATTGGCCCCGCAGGGTCTGCGGCCGCGAGGCGTCGGGTTGCAGAAGCTCTGGGCCGCACACTCGCGTCGAGGGTGTCGCTTCGTGCAAAGATCCTGTGTAGTGCTGCTACGAGTAATCGCACGCGTAGGAAGCTGGGCAAAACTAAGGTCGGCCTAAATACCGTATTCATGACAACGCTACAATCTCTTTTCTCTCAGCTCAGTAGAAGACGTCGGTGCCGCTGCTCGTCTGCGGACGGCGTCGACTGCTCTCGAGGTTGAACTTGTCCACGAAAGTCTTGAGTCCTGTGTTGAAAAGACTGCAGCGGATCGGCATCTCCAGCTCGTAGAACGGGTTCTGCAGTAGCGTTTCCGTAAAAAAATAAATACAATAAATTCCGTCAGATTCGTGACAAGTTGTCACTGACAACAATTATTGTTAATATTGTGCATGGTTGTTACTGATACCGACCTTGAGCACGTAGTCGACGTACAGCTCGTAGACAGTCTGCAGCGCCACGTCCAGGTCGGGCGTGCCCAGCGCCGCCGTGATGAAGAACTTGATGCCCGTGGGCGTCTGCAGACACTGCAGGCGGAAGGAGCCCGTCTCGAGGCTGTCGATGCCGCCCGAGCCCGTGGGCGCCGCCAGCGCCGCGATGGCGTGCATGCTGTGGAAGGTGGAGCCCAGGCGCAGGTGGTCGTTCGAGCTCAGCTTGGGCGCCGCGGGGCTCAGGTCCTGCTGGTAGATGAGGCCCCCGGCCTTGTTGATGATGTACAGCGAGTGCAGCATGTCGAAATGTGGACAGGGGAAACTAATCCGCGTTTCTATTCATTTAGAAACGATGTTAGAAACGGCTACATGAACTTCAACTAAGGAGAAACATGACCTTCCTCATCTTCCTCATCTTCCTCACCTCCGACTAAGGAAGAGAGACATGATCTTCCCGACAATACGTTTCAGGTCGGCGTCTTGGGGCGCAACGTGGACACTTGAAACAAGGTCAACCTTGTCAGTGAGAACTATCGGGTCACCGATGGCCTGGTACTGGAGGCGAACGAATATCCATGAGTAGTAGTTGGACACGATGCCAGTCACCACCTTGCCCTCCCCACGCGCATTCAGCAGCTCCACCCCCAAAACCGTTTACGCTAGCCCAGGCTGTATGCTCCCATCGTCTTCCGACGAATCGGACGAGATTTCCGTGTCGTAATCGCTGCTCATCGCCTCCTGCACGTTCTGAGCTGCTCGCTGGGACTCCATCAAACACACGCAATGAGTCTTGCTGGTGATGGCAAAATCAAGATCCCCGCCCACACTCAGTCTGCCGTCCGGGTTATCGATGGGGTGCTTTCCAAAAACTTTGATTCCTTTCATTCTCGTCTTTTCAGCCGCTAGAATGCTCGCGAAGAGAGAAAAGAGAACCCACGAAATCTCGATATTCGAGCACACCCCACCGATCGTGCTGATAGCTTGGCTCAACTTCGTTTTCACGTGACTGAAGCATTGATCGGACACCTGTAGAGCCTCCTCTTCGTACTATTTCTGCGTGTAGAAATGTCCGATATCGTTCCAGGTGATCCGATTTAGGTTCGCGGACTCGTTGGCGTTCGGCTTCAAGCGTGCAAAGGCATAATCCAGTTCCAGTGCATTTGAACTTTGTACTCGCCCAATAGACCTGCCAGCGCGCCACGGAGTTTGTGGCCAGGGACTACAACAAGTACGTGCACACAGCGTTGAGCCGGTAAAGCGCCGAACACTTGATCCACAGACGCGTCTCGATTTATTGCTTTGGTCGTCAGCATACCCTTCACGTTCGTTGTTACGTCTCCAAGCGCCAACATCGCCTCATCCTTGCTGTCATACTCCAACCAGGAATTGTTTCGCTTTGCCAAAAACAATGTGATCTGCTCGTTGTTTTGTAGGCGCTCGTCTTGTTGCAGCATCTCCGTCAGTACGCTGATCTTAGCGTCGGGATCAACGTTTACCATTCGTGTCGCACCAGGAAACCCCACGATCAAATACATGATGGACCTTGTGGGCAACATTGCCAGGAAGTGCACAGTACCCCGTGGCTGCAACGGCTGGACCATATCCAAGACAGTTTCATCCGCGCCCAGTTCTTGCTGCATCAAGTCTTCAAGGAGCGATAGGTCCTATATACATCAGTGTTCTCTCTCTCGAATCCAACGACTCGCCGTCGCGTTTCGCAAGGAAGAGCTGCAGTCGTTGCGCCTCCGCGTTCACGAGAGCCGTCGACTCCTTCATTTTTAGTGCCTCCTTCACGGTCGCCACAGTAGCGTTCTCGTCGACGGTGACGTCGCACAGAGACCTGCATTTCCACTCCAAGCAAAAATGCTCTTGAAATGCCAAAAATTCTGAGTGACAACAAGCTGTTAAAGACGATATGCCATTGTATCCAGGTCTCAGACGATTAGCAATTGAGAACATCGGACTGGCAGTTGAAGTTTAATTGCCAGTCGAGACACTCACGCAGCATGGAGCTTTATGTCTTGACACCAGGCCAGAGTGACGCGACGCGTGTATGTGCGGAAGATGATTGGAGCGTGGGTCAGCTGAAACAACACTTCATAGATGGCCAAGGTCGCCAAGGACTGGAGTACGCTAACCCGACCAAAGTGCAGCTATTTCGCGTGGATGGTCTTCTCCCAAAATCACGTGAAGTGCAAGCGTTGAAGACGGGGGACACATCAGTTCTAAGCCGTCTGCTGATGCATGAAATGTCATCCCCCGAAACGCTTCGCTCTCATTTCCCTGGCAATCCGCCGTCGGGATTCATTCATGTGCTCGCTGTGCTCCCAAACCGGCGCATCAACTGCTTGATTCCTGGTCGACGTGATCACGGGCGAACTCTTCCTGGATTCGTCATTACGGTAGACGCCGATGTTGACGACAATGTTGTGGAGCTGAAGAAGATTATCGGAAAGGATGGCGTGGGCCTTTTCGAGGAGGACTCAAGACCCTACTATTTTCATCTCTTCCCAGCCATTCGAGGTGGGAGCTGGCTGCAGGCATCATCTTCTGAAGCAGGAGATGTGGAGTATGGTGATCTGTCGGTGCTGGATGAGATTGTGAAGCAGAACCCAGAGATGACAGCTAGCGAGAAGGCCTCGGAAGTATTTTCCGTTCAACCCGGCGGAAAGTTTCATCCACGTGATTGTCATGCCGCCCATAAGACGCATCACTTGCGTAGTCCCGGGTATGCACGAAAGCAAGTTCAGATGGATGAGAACGCGTACGTCAGCGCGCTCAAAGACGCATGCAGACAAAAGGACTACCTCTAGGGTATACCAGAGTTTAAGCTGATTAAGGCACAATCAGAGAATTCGTGGCTGAGGTCGGATGGTGACGATGCGAGGGCTCTAGCTATCGGTGAAGCGACGGAGCGTGTGCCGAAACCCATGAAGACTGGTGAAGCTCGCGTGCAGGATTTTATAACGACAATTTTGGGACGGCCCCTTACGAGAACACCATTCACGTTTTGGCTTTAGTCCCCGGTCTTATTGTACGTCGTTCATTGCCATCGATACTTGGAAAGCGGCCTCAAGGTCACTGGGACGTACTGAACGGTGGCCTAAAGAGGCAAAATACGGCCTCCAATTGCTCAAACCCGGTCGTCGTCACGTGAGCGGCGTCTCGAGTTTCATCTCCGAGTACTTCCAGTCCATCTGCGGCCCGACGCAGTTCATGGGCGAGATCGACGACGGCAGGGCTCAACATGATCCAGAAGGCGTTCAAGAACAGCACCATGTCCTGGACCAAGAAGGGCGACGGCCAGGTGATCATCAACTTCCAGAGCACCGACACCAAGAACGTGACGGTCAACATTATGTCTGGAGGCGACAAGATCGACGAAATCGACGTCGCTGCCTGTGGGAAAGCCACGTGGAAGTCAACTGTGGAGAAGCTGGGCGGCCGGACGCTGTATCTCGATCGCTGGCGTCCTGGTTTCCTGGGTCTTCCTGGCACCGGAGGTGGCTCTTTGATGCTGTGGGTCCCTCATGCAGCTGAAGGCATTGTCTGTTGAGTCGGCCATTGACCATGTTTCAAAGGTAAAAACCGTCTCGATCATCTCGTGAGTCACACAACACTACATCGGTATAACGCGCACGTGTTGACTCAACACATGTTACGGTAGGCCATAACGAAATCATCGACGTCTGATTCAGACGTGCCCAAGTCATCGATCATTTCGAGACGGTCTGAAGCGGTACAACGAAGAAAGAAGGGAATGTCAGATGAAGGTTCAAGGAAAGCTTGACGTCGCACTTCTCGGGAACCAGAGCTTCGTAGAGGTACCCTTGAAGTTGTCCACAACAACTTTAGTGCCACTGATATCAGCTCGAAGCTTTTCCGGGTTCGAAGACGATGCATATCAATTTAGGTTGAAGAGAACTACTGTAAACTGCACTTGGTCGACTCACTGGTAGCGACTGCTCCTGGAACGTGCGCCGACTGCAACAGGATGGCTGCTTCTGCCCCCATCGCTCCATTGAAGCCCACCGGTTTTTCCGACTTGTTCACGATGCTCAATACCAGGGACTTCCTGGAGGGCGGCGTGTATGTGTCTAACTCTTAGAGCGTGTTCGCTACGCAGCTGGAGATGGATATCTGCAGGGTGTTGGTGCAGGGAGTTGGTGCATCTCCATCTCCAGCTTGTTCGCTACAACAGAGCGCATCTAGGTAAAATTAGCCAATCACAGTGCAACTGCAACGACTCGCTTTACTTTGCTGTTTCTTCGTCGGCCGAGAACACTGTGCCCGAGACACCGGACGCGTGGCAAGATGGACCAAGCTCCTCCTCGTGAGACTGCATCGCGCTGAATCGGTTCCGGTACACGCGATCTCGAAGGAACTCGTACAATAAACGCTCCGCAGTTGAGATCAGCTTCGTCGACCCAGTCAGGCTCGTCGTAACCCTTCCAGCGTACCAGGAATTCTCGATAGGTCCGGCCGTACCGTGTCCTTCGGCCCGTCCGCATATCAGTGATCTCCTCTACTTCGTACTCATTCGCGTCTCGATCTGGGTCCCAGCTGTCCTCCGGGAGTAAGACTTCGTCGAAATCGAGTCGATCCGCTGCGTCCACCATGAGCGCGATCTGCGGTCGATCGGGGAAGTCCCTGACCAGCTTCAGCTTCGAAACATGCACAATCGGGAACAGGTGATAGTCCGTACCAGCGATCTGAAGCTTCATCGTATACTCGTTCCCCTTCTCCGCAACACGGAACGGGCCGTACCACAGGTGGGCCAACTTCCGGGCATACCCCTCTTTCACTCGATCCAGGTACAGCCACACCTGAGATCCAGCTTCGATCGAGTGCGGTCGAACTTCTTCATTGTGTCGATCGGCCCGATCCGCGATCGCCTCGCGTAGTCGAGCATTCACCTGACTTCGAGCCTGATCGTAGTGCTTCTGGATCCGATAACGCCACCGTCGAGGATCCCGATCCCGAGTCCGGGTACTACCCAAAGGTATCGTTGCCTCGAGCGTCGATCGAGGATCCCATCCATGCACCAGATAAAAAGGGGAGTCCCCATGGACCCAATACTGAGCCGTGTTGATCGCGAAGGTCAATCGCTCTGCGTACTCATCCCAATCCCTCTGATCCAGATCCTCCACGAACATCTTCAGGGCCCTCGTCGCCGTCTGTACCATTCGCTCTGCAGTACCGTTAGCCTGAGGTAGCCTGAGGTGGATATGCCATCGTCGCTCGCTGGTGCATACCCAGGATCTTGTTAAAGGCGCGGAAGAAGTCAGCCATAAATTCCGGCTCTCGATCGTGCCTGATCACCTCGCTAGCACCAAATCGCCGGAACACACACTCTTCGTAAGATTCGGCGATCGTCTGCGCCGTTCGGGACGAACCCGCCTTCGCGATCACGTATCCCGTGAACAGATCGACCCAGATCAACAGTTCCGTATTACCCTTGTACGACTTGGGTAGCGAAGGTATGTGATCCATCGCTATGATGTGGAACGGGTATGTCGCCTGGATGTTTCCCGGCGACTCGCCCCTGATCGTGGGTCGTCCTTTGCCGGTCTCGCAGTCGACACATTCGCCGACGTACTTTGCACACTTCTGAAGAGACCTCTCCAGTGAAAGTGATCGCGGATCCGCTGGTATGTACGCCCGATCCCTTGGTGTCCACCTTCCAGAGTGGAGTGATAGTGATGCAGGATGTCTTGATGCAGCGTCTCCGGTGCCACCAGTCTCATCAGTCCATCTCGATCTGCATCCGATCGCTTGGAGGGTGGGCAATAGAACAGCAGATTATCACCGTCGATCTCGTCGTCCGCTGCGAGGTTGCCATAGGATCGGGCCTCATCCTATGTCAGATCAGCCACATCTCCCCTCAGATATTTCTTCATACCCGCGATCCACGTTTCTTCATCCTGTGTTCGACGAATCCGATCGATCCGCAACCCTCGCACGAACTCCTCCTGCATGACGGTCGGGTTCGGCCGTGATCTGGTGCCCGATCGGGTTGTCATCGGCGATAGTCGGGCGATCGACTCATCCGACCGGACGACCAGGATCTCATCAAGTCGGTTTAGTGGCACTAGATCCCCATGATCGGCATCCTCCTCGACGACGACGCCCCCTTCACGTTGGAGTGCTGCACTGGCCAGGCTGTCGGCACTTCCGTTCCAGTCTCGTTTCACATGTAACAGCTCGTGATCTGGCCAGTTCCGTAGCTGATCCAGCACCTTCTGCTTCAACAATGTCAGCTTAGGTGCTTTGCAGTCAATCTCGCCCCGTACTTGTCGGATCACCACCGCAGACCACTAACCTGCCTCGATCTATGCCGTCCAGGAGGTCGAAACCCAACAACAGACCATGATACTCCGCCTCGTTAACAGTCAGCCCTTCGGCATAGCCCGATCGAGCCTTCACCACACTCCATTCGGGTAACTTCCACAAGATTGCACTGTACGCGCCCCCGCCTCGCTTGACGCGGGCAGATCCATCGAAACTCATCACCAGCAGCTCTTCGTCCGCACGCACTGTCGGGATCGGGGCTTGAATCTTCCGCCGGGGTTCTTTCTTCGGCGCGATCGCGATCAACGCGTCGTCCAGATCCGATCGAGGCGTAATACTAGCGGCGATCGCCCCCAAAATCTCGTCCTCTCCCTTGGTGCACTTCATGATCTCCAGTGTCCAGGGCGATAGGAGTGCAGCCCACTGACCCAATCGGCCTTGAAGACCGGATAATCGGAACAGCCACGCCAACGTCGAGTGTCGGGTCAAGACCCGGATGGATCGTCCAACCAGCATGTTATAGTTCAGGTCCAGGATCCGTAACAGCGCCAGCACTTGTTTCTCCACCACATTGTAATTCAGTTCATTCGACTTCAGCGTTCGACTGGCGAAAGTAACGGGATGATAGATCTGGTCGTGCTCCTGCATCAATGCGGCAAAGATCGCCCAGTCACTGGCATACACAATCACGACCGGAGTCCGATCGCGATCGAAGTGCCGCAGGATCGGTGTCGTCGCGATCTTCATCTTCAGGGTCGAAAAGGCACGATGAGCACGGATCCAGCGTTCATCGGCTACACCGACTTCAGGAACTGATGGAGTCCGATCGGGGATCACTGGGTCCGTATCCACTAAGTTCGGTACTTGACGATCCAGGATCTGGCGCAGATCGGGGCGTTTCTTCAGCTCGGCGAAGTTCACCTCGCGCAGTTCGTACAGGATCGCCGCGTAGATCGCGTAATCTTCCAAGAAACGGCTGTAACAATTGAGACTGCCCAAGAACGACTGCATCGATCGGAGTGATCCGGGGAACGGCAGATCAGTCAGAGCCGTGAGATCCTTCGGATTGGCCTCTTGCCCGTCGTTCGACACCCGATGTCCCAGATAGCCCACCTTACGCATCCCCCAAGAGCTCTTCTCCACACTGATCGAGAGGTTCCACTTATCACAAGCGTCCAGCAGGTGATCCACGCGATCACACAGCTCGTCCCATGACCCGGCCGTCACCAAAATGTCGTCAACGTACGATCTGCGACCTAGCACTGATGGACGCCCCGGATCTTCTGGTTCTCCTGACTCGATCAAGTCCGTAGTGACTTCACAGTCCGACGATCGCGGGATCCTGGTGAACCCATACAACGCATCATCCAGAAGTCGCTGGTAGATTTGAGGAGCGTTCTTCAAGCCGAACGGCATCCGGTTCCACTCGAACAGACCCATGTGGGTGATAAATGCCGAGATCGCACGAGCTCGATCGGTCATTGTCACCACCCAGAATCCACTGGCCATGTCCAAAGAGCAATACCAGAGTACCTTATCCAGATCCTCCAGCAAATCGTTGATCAAGGGCATCGGATATACCATCAGCCTGGTTAAACTGTTGACGAGCCGATAATCGATGCAGAGTCGGATATCCACGCCGTTCTTCTTCATGATCACGACAATCGGCGAGGCCCACGGTGATCGAGATTTCCGAATCATCTTGGCTGACAATAATCCCTTGATCAGCTCGGACACCTTCTCCACGAACTGAGGGGCAACTTTCCGGACACGTTGAGCGATCGGCTTCGCGTCGCCCACGTCGATGTCGCAGGTGACGCCCCGGGCTGCTGGGGGAAGTGCATTGCCCTTGCCGATCAGCAGGTGATTCCTGTGCCAGATCTTCTCTCGCAGCCGATCGATCTCCTCCGGGGTGTTGAACTCCAGATCTCCCACCTTGATATCATCGACCTTCACCTCATCCGTCGTCGAGATCACAATTTCAGGAAGCACAGCTAATTCACCTTCGACATCTTCTGCTGACAGATTCCCGCCCTCGTGGTAATGGACCTGATCATCAGCGTCAACATCTCGATCTGGTTCGGATGCAATGAGGTCGTCCCAATTTGAAGTGGGTTTGGCCTCCTTTTCCAGCTGATCCCCTCCAACGATCGACGAGTCTTCAGCCACTTGCGGCAGTCGTTCAGATGCAGGAACACCGTCGACTGCTGTATCGTCACTTGATCTCGACTGTTCCACAGCTAAGACCGCAAAAGGGTGTGTCCGATCGGTACTCCCGCCCCCAAGATCTGGTTCGACGGCACAACCGTCGACCTGATCGGCCGATGGCAAGTGAGGGGACACGATTTCGCCTTTCTCAGCTGCTTTACCACCGGAGTCCACATGATCTGGCTTCCCCTCTGGATCGCCAGCACGATCATCTTGCGGCTTCGCGTCATCTATCGGTGCATACGCTTGATCCGTGATCGGCGAAGGCTGGGAGTCCAGCCCCACCTGTTTCCGCTTTGGAGGGCATTCCTCCTCCGATCCGGAAGGTTCACACACCGACTCAACAGGATCAGACCGTGGGTCTGGTGGATCTCCGACGAGGACGGTTGAAGCTGACGACCCCGACACCTCTGTCACGCGATCACCGTCCTGCAACGGTCTGCCTCCTGATCTAGGAGTATCAGCGACGGCCACCCCCGGATCAGGGCTCATTGCCTCCGGTTCGCTTGGTGGATCGGGTGGACCCGTCGATTGATCGACGATCGGGGATACCTTGCGTCTCTGGAGAATGGTTCGGGGCGTTGGATAAATCGGTCGCTCGACGGCAGGTACTGGACGTTCCGTTGGTGCCCCCTGGCCCGTCGGCCGGTCATCTATCGTGGCTTAAAAGGCTAGATTCTGCCATTCCATACATCGACGAGATCCGATTGACACATATCCTGGGATCCGGGGTATCCGATCTCCAGCCAGCCACATCCCGACCCGTTCATTCCGATGCAAGACGAGGTCTTTGTCGTTGATGTTGGTAACCTGGAGATATCGGATCCTGCCGGGTCCTCGGACCACGGTCGGCACCCAGCGATCTCCACGGGTGACCCACAGCTTTTCTCGATCCGTCACCTTCATTCGTAGCGGAAGCTCGATCGAATCCCCGATCGCGATCTGCGTTCCCTGATCCACATACACGTGTCGGACATTGTCGTTATACAGCTGACGCCGCCCGCTAAGCTGGATCTTGACTTTGTCGGGGAGACAGAGCCGTCCGCAAGATCGAGGCGGATCCCCGCCGGAACCATAAAGTCCATACCCAGGATCGCCTCTTGTCCTGATAGATCGCCAACCCAGATATCGAAGAAATACACCAGCGATCCCGCCAGCGTAACCTTGATCCTGGTCCTTCCTTCCGTCATGTACACGCTTTCGCCAATCCCCACACATTCCTGGCTCTGACTCGTGTCGACATAGCACCCCACCTTACGAGCAAAGGCGGTGTCCACGATGGACACCTCGGCGCCGGTGTCTAAGAGTAAGATCGACTTCTCATTGTTGATCTTGCCAGTGATCTTGACCTGACGGAACCACTTACCTGGCGAATGATGTTTCCAGTACCCTCTGGACTCCCCAGGGAGGAGATCGGGCACCACATCGCCAGATCTGCGGTGTTCGCTGACGCGAGGCCGACTTCGATCCAGGATCTCAGTCGTCACTTCTCCATCAGCTGGCTTGAACCATTCCTCCGGTCTGCGTTGCTTCCAATAATAGCCCCGCGTTTCTCCAGACTGGAGATCCAAGGGCACTTCGGCGTCAGAACGGCTGAAGTCGTCCGATCGATGTAGACTTAAGACCTTGGCGGCAAATTTCGCATGCAGGTCACATGTATTGTCGCGTAGATCAGTCCGTCCACTTACTCGATCTACCGTGTTCTTGTTCACGAATGCATTGATGCAGTACCTAAAACGCTCGGCTCGTACCGGATTCCAACCCGGCGAGCGTCCTAGTTTAACATCTTCTCGGCGATCGCGGGCAACATGCCAGCGTGCTTCGCCGGGTTGAACCATTGACGGATCTGGTTGTAGAATTCCTCCATCGGACACTTGCCCATCTCGTGTAGTTCACCACATCCACGGCACACAAACAGGCAGCGATCCGCCGGATGACCTCTCTTGCCACACTTCTCGCACATCAAGCGTCTCCAACCATCGAGATCGGTGTGTTTTCGCGATCCACAATGTGAGCAGCGGTTTGATCGCTCCGATCCGTCAGGTGAAGATCGCGGTCGTGGATCCGATCGAGGTGAGTCATGGTTGATCTGCGCCTGGTTGCTCCGATCCGGCTTCGTCGCGTCGCCCCCAGCGTTGCGGGACTTGTCCTCGGCCGACGCTAGGTAAACGCGGCGTAGATCACCCTCCGAGTCCGATCCGTCTGATCCCGTGTCCGATCCAGACCCCTGGCTCGCGATCTGTACTGCACGCTCTGCCCGCTTGGTTGCAGCAGCTGGTGCTGAGGTCGGAACGTTCTGACGATACTTCGATCCAAGGCGGATCACTTCTGTCTACTCTTCGCGCGCTCTCGAGCGCGCAGGACTTCCTCCAGATCTTCCGCGTCCGCAAGCCGGAGTTAGGTGAGCTGATCGGCCAGTTCCGGATCGCCCAGTGTCTCGATATAGTGTTCGACATGTTCTCGGCGGGCCTTGGAATCCCCGTCCTTGATCTTCAATCTTACACGTAGAGCCGCCACATTCAGTCGATAAAGGTACTCCAACGGCGATTCATCCGATCTCTTGCGAGAATGATAATACTGCCAAGCGACCGATACTCCCAGGCCACAATACTGGATCTGGAAACTCCGGAGTAGAACGCTCCACTTGTTCCGCGTCGATCGACCCAGCTGGCGGTACCAGTTCTTCGCCGGGCCCGTCAGTAGATCGGCGACAGTCAGGCACTTCTCTTCATCCGTAGCCTGATCTCGCAGGAACGCCGATTTCAACTTGCTGATCCACGATCGGGCGCGGTCTTCGTCCTGATCCTTGCCACTGAACTCCTTAAGATCGGACATCGCCGAGATTCGCACACGCTGGATCAAGGAGGACCCAGTGGATCCCGAGGCAGCGGTGGCCACCACAGCAGGGGCCGAACTCGGTAGATCAATGTCGTCCGGATCGTATTCCCACTGGTAGGAATCTTGGTCCGGTGATCCGGCTGATTCCATCTCCACGTCCCGCGATCCAACGTTGTCGTCGACCACTGGAGTAGGTGTTACCACCGTGGCCTGTTGTTCCTTCAGAAATCGAGTCATCGCAGCCTGAAAGTAAGACTCCAGTCTGCCATTCGACTCATCTGATCCTGGGGAGGATGTTGAGGTTTGTCATTTCGCCCGTGCCGGAGCCTTCCATGAATATCATATATGAGTCTGTGCTGGAAAATTTGCAAGTACTCCCGAAGGACAAGAACGAACGCGAGCTTTGTTTTCGCTGTTTTCGAGCATCATTTCGACGGAGCTGAAGCAATTCAAGATCCACGGCGAACATTTTCTCGCAAGCTCCGAGGGGGGTGGGGGGTGGGGGGGGGATGCCATGGGAAAGCTGACTTTATTATTCGCAATGCCGATAATTTTGTCAGCATAGTGGAGGCCAAGAAACCTCAAACTGTAGTCACGTTGGTGGCCCTTTCAAGCAGCCTGGAATTCCGCAGGTAGTTGTGGGGATGGAACTCCTCAATACTCAAAGCAACGATGTCCTCGCAAATGGTATTCTGACTGATTACTGTTCTTGGACATTTATGCGGATCATGTACCCGGATGACCATGATGGCTCGCCTACGATCCTGTACGACACCGATAATCTTGTTGAGAGCGCCAGGGATACTCCACGAAAACAGAATCTTGAGCGCATTGTTGGTAAGATCGTGTCCGTTCTTTCTACGTCTCTGCTTCCTCCATCGTGAGTTGACCCGCAGACGAAGGTTGCAAACGGGTTATGGAGACAAAAGATCCAATTTTTCGACTCGCGTATTTCAATCAAAAGCTGCTATCCCGATAAGTCACGAAGTCGCAAGTCTTACTCATACCAAATTCACAAGCATTTTGTTCAGTGGCGGGTGAAGTTTTGGTGTTCTGTTTCCCATGCTCGTCGAGTTTGAAGTGCTACGGGTTTCTATAAGGGTGAGTCGCTCATTCGACTGCTTAAGTGTCACTGAGGCCTTGCTGGGCCGTGGTGTCGCTGTCCTCCATGCTGAGCATGAAGGACCCGTCGCCGCAGAACTTGTCGTTGAGCCACGCGCCGTCGTAGCACGAGCCGTCGGTGAAGGTGTAGCGGCCGTTGCCGTGGCGGACGTCGTCCAGCCAGTCGCCGTCGTACGAGCACCCGTTGGCGTACTTGCACCCGCGGCCGCAGAGCAGACCACCGACCCACTTGCCGTCGTAATGGGCGCGAGTCCGAGCATCGTCAAACACGCCGAAGCCGTTGCGTCGACCGTTGCGCCACTCACCGCGGTACACCGATCCGTCGCGCAGCGTAGCGACTCCGTGCCCAGAACGACGACCGGTGACCCAACTGCCCTCGTACACCTCGCCTTAAGCGTGGTGGTGACTTTCGCCTTGGCCGTGAGGGACCCCATCGTTCACTTCACCAACATATCGACACGAGCCGTTCTGACCGTCGCCGTACCCTTCAAGGCAGCTCTTTTCGCGCGTGTCGAGGACGTCGTTGACCCAAGAGCCGACGAGCTGCGTACCGTGGGAATACGTGAGTGTTCCTGCGCCGTGCTTTCGGTCGTGCACCCACTGGCCTTCGTACTTCATAGGCAGGCGACCACCGCCGTGCCGAGTCTCTGGCAGGTGATACTCGTAGATCCCGAAGCCGTGGCGCTGGTCGCTTTCCCACTGACCAGCGTACACGTCTTGGCTGCTGGCATATTGCATGACACCTTGACCGCAGCGTTGGTCGTCGCGCCAGTCGCCGTCGTACTCGTCTCCATTGACATACGAACACTTGCCTTTGCCGTGGCGCTGCGTCTGATCTGCATTCATCTCTCCGACATACACGTCCCCATTGCTTAGAGTCTTGGTCTTGATCGAGTTTGCGGCCGCTTGTCGCTGGGCTTCGTCTTCTGCCTCGCTGGGGAAGCCTGCCGGTGTCTCCCAGAAGCCCAGCGCTGTCGTCGAGTCAAGATGCTGCTGCCATGGACAGCGCACAAACAGGAGGTGCAGGGCCGCTTCCCCTGTAGCTACCGACCTCGTGGGTGGCGAGTACGAACCACCTGACCTCTCTGAGGTCGTGCTTTGCACTAATCTTCAGACTCTCTCACCAGACTCCTGTCCAGAGAGCCCCCTGCCTAGTGACGCTTATTGGCACAAGTAAGGTCCGGTCTTTAGTAGTCGTTATTGTGGTTTTCAACTATTTTGCCGCCCGATTTGACGTGTTATCTCGGAGTCCGATTTATATAAAATGGAGCTTCTACATGATCGGTTAGTCATATCTGACCTGAGTTAGTAGCATAAGGCTCAAAGGGGAGGCATTCCAAGTTGGCTATACCTCCCCACCTCTCATGACGCATTAGAAATGCAAGACATTGGGGACAATAGTACACTGTATATAGCCACTTCATAGCACTATGGCCAGCTAAATCACCTGTGTGATCATTTACGGCCGCTACAACTTCGTACCACGCCGATCTGAGAGGGCCCCAGACATGTTTTCGCGGCGGTCCCTTTTGCCCGCGAAAAACGGCATTTCTGGCCCCTGCTTTGCAACTCGCAGCCCCCAGACGCAAATCGGGCCAGATATAGTTTGCTTCCCTCAGCCTCTCCTGCTAAATCGGAGCCCTCCAGCAAATCGGGCCCGATATATCGGATCTTGGACCACCCGATTTTGCCAAAACGGATGAAAGCCACAATAGCGATCCTAATAGCTAAGTGACAACAATGGAACTCTTCCAAAAGCAACACAAAAATAAATGTGTCATGAGCACAAAATAGGGCTGCATATGAAATGAGTTGCGTGTTTCGCGTAGCCTAGTTACTCCGTCCCAGACTCTTTATTGCTAGGTTGGTGTAAAAAACAGGCGAGGCAAACCGCTACTGTACCCACAACTGGATACAGTTCCGGTTTGTACCTTTTTCCGCATCGGCCAGGAAATGTGAGGCTCCCCTCCCTCCTCCTCGTCCTTGGCGAAAATGGAGCTCGCTGCGTCGCTCTCCTTCACAGGTCTCTTCGTCAACGTCTGGTAGTTGTAGGTCCTGCCGCCGATCGATGTCCTCAGCCGTCCGCACCTTGATCTGTAGTATCTGTTCTGCCCCTTGCACATCTTGCTCATCGGTCCTTAGCATGTCCAGCGTAGCCTTGCGCCTTGATCTGTAGTATCTGTTCTTGTGCCTTGCGCTCCTCCTGCCGAATCCTTCGTCCACCGTCGTGCTGAGTACAAAGTCCCGCTCGGGAGTCCGCCCTACCCCTTGGTCTTGTCGCGCGTCCAGTTCATCTTCCTGGGCCATGCCGTTAACAGCCCGCCAGCTACGGCGAACCCGGTCATAGCGCGCAGCGAAGCCTTCTGCGCAGCGAGTCCTTGGTCACAGCTTGCCACCACCTCACCGCCTTGCCCACGAAGATATCCCCACATGTCCCGCAGTGGACTAGACGCTGCCCGAAGACAGCACCCGCAGAGCGGCGCCGAGACTCAGCTCGAGGCCGTCTACTGGGCGGACGTCGCCCCAACCCGACCAAAAAAGGGCTGCATACCCAGTACAATATGCGAAGACGCAAATATCGTCTCCACAAATTGTGTCATGAAGAGTTGTGTCAATTTTGGAACAGTTCCAATGATACTCAATTTAAAAAACAAAAACAAAACGATGCTGCTGCCATGGCCCATTGTCGACGTATTCTGGCATCGGGATGCAACCACAGAGGAAGAAACCTCTCTTGTCGGGACACCGCGAGAACTGGTCACGGCCTTGTACTCCTTGAACGCCTTAACTTTCTTCAACAGAGCGGCAACAGCTCACGCGTGCAGGCAGTACTGCTGCGGGGTCCTTCCATACCGATTTTATGAGTTTGTAGCCGCGGGACGGCTTCCATTTCACGCAGATTGCTACTGTGCGGTAGGTCTGGCGGGCTGGCTTTTATTTGTGTGAAGATGTCTGAAATGATGACACAGTTTACCTGCGTTCTCTCATCTCAGTGAGAGCTGGATAGAGTGTGCCTCTGATCCTACCTAGTAGCCGTAGATGAGGAAGTGGTAGAGGTAGCCTGCATGAAATCGTACGGGTTGTGCAGCAGCACCAGGAGGGTGCGGAGCTAGCTCTACGGGTAGCCCCGCCGCCATAACAGGCCTTCGGCTCCGACGTGACCTCCTACTACGTGCAGGTACGACAGTATGAGCTGGTTCGACCAGCCATGGAAAGCTCCAGGCCGCCGTAGGCGGTGCCACGGCTTGCCACAGTGATAAACGCTTTGCAACCCTGCATAAACGAATTCACTTGTGTTTTGTATACTGTCTCCCATACGGCGTCGTTTTGCTACCGTGACTTGCAGATTGTATAGGAGTTGAGTTGCAAAACAGACTAATACTTGCTACCGTGTGCGCAACCGAAGTTGCAAGCGATACCGTACCATTTGGCTACAGTACAAGCAACAATCCTGGTCGATACCATGCAGCTGGCCAATCAGAGGTGGCGATTTCTAGAAATACAACCTGGGTTGCAAATGACCGGTAATGTAGAAATACCAGCCAGTTCAGCAACCAGCTTTGCAACCGTCATCTCATTGGTTAAAAATGGAGTACCAGGTAATGTGTCACTTTGCTGCAGCCCTTTGAGGTTGCTTTATGAGCAACGCGCTGTGAAATGAGCTGAATAACTCTTGTGCATGTAGTACTGACTGCGAGAACCTCTTTGTAATACACTAGCGTCGCTCTCGTAGGTGCAGTACCGACCGCGAGAACTGGTCACGGCCTTGTACTCCTTGAACGCCTTAACTTTCTTCAACAGAGCGGCAACAGCTCACGCGTGCAGGCAGTACTGCTGCGGGGTCCTTCCATACCGATTTTATGAGTTTGTAGCCGCGGGACGGCTTCCATTTCACGCAGATTGCTACTGTGCGGTAGGTCTGGCGGGCTGGATTTTATTTGTGTGAAGATGTCTGAAATGATGACACAGTTTACTTGCGTTCTCTCATCTCAGTGAGAGCTGGATAGAGTGTGCCTCTGATCCTACCTAGTAGCCGTAGATGAGGAAGTGGTAGAGGTAGCCTGCATGAAATCGTACGGGTTGTGCAGCAGCACCAGGAGGGTGCGGAGCTAGCTCTACGGGTAGCCCCGCCGCCATAACAGGCCTTCGGCTCCGACGTGACCTCCTACTACGTGCAGGTACGACAGTATGAGCTGGTTCGACCAGCCATGGAAAGCTCCAGGCCGCCGTAGGCGGTGCCACGGCTTGCCACGGTGATAAACGCTTTGCAACCCTGCATAAACGAATTCACTTGTGTTTTGTATACTGTCTCCCATACGGCGTCGTTTTGCTACCGTGACTTGCAGATTGTATAGGAGTTGAGTTGCAAAACAGACTAATACTTGCTACCGTGTGCGCAACCGAAGTTGCAAGCGATACCGTACCATTTGGCTACAGTACAAGCAACAATCCTGGTCGATACCATGCAGCTGGCCAATCAGAGGTGGTGATTTCTAGAAATACAACCTGGGTTGCAAATGACCGGTAATGTAGAAATACCAGCCAGTTCAGCAACCAGCTTTGCAACCGTCATCTCATTGGTTAAAAATGGAGTACCAGGTAATGTGTCACTTTGCTGCAGCCCTTTGAGGTTGCTTTATGAGCAACGCGCTGTGAAATGAGCTGAATAACTCTTGTGCATGTAGTACTGACTGCGAGAACCTCTTTGTAATACACTAGCGTCGCTCTCGTAGGTGCAGTACCGACCGCGAGAACTGGTCACGGCCTTGTACTCCTTGAACGCCTTAACTTTCTTCAACAGAGCGGCAACAGCTCACGCGTGCAGGCAGTACTGCTGCGGGGTCCTTCCATACCGATTTTATGAGTTTGTAGCCGCGGGACGGCTTCCATTTCACGCAGATTGCTACTGTGCGGTAGGTCTGGCGGGCTGGCTTTTATTTGTGTGAAGATGTCTGAAATGATGACACAGTTTACCTGCGTTCTCTCATCTCAGTGAGAGCTGGATAGAGTGTGCCTCTGATCCTACCTAGTAGCCGTAGATGAGGAAGTGGTAGAGGTAGCCTGCATGAAATCGTACGGGTTGTGCAGCAGCACCAGGAGGGTGCGGAGCTAGCTCTACGGGTAGCCCCGCCGCCATAACAGGCCTTCGGCTCCGACGTGACCTCCTACTACGTGCAGGTACGACAGTATGAGCTGGTTCGACCAGCCATGGAAAGCTCCAGGCCGCCGTAGGCGGTGCCACGGCTTGCCACGGTGATAAACGCTTTGCAACCCTGCATAAACGAATTCACTTGTGTTTTGTATACTGTCTCCCATACGGCGTCGTTTTGCTACCGTGACTTGCAGATTGTATAGGAGTTGAGTTGCAAAACAGACTAATACTTGCTACCGTGTGCGCAACCGAAGTTGCAAGCGATACCGTACCATTTGGCTACAGTACAAGCAACAATCCTGGTCGATACCATGCAGGTGGCCAATCAGAGGTGGCGATTTCTAGAAATACAACCTGGGTTGCAAATGACCGGTAATGTAGAAATACCAGCCAGTTCAGCAACCAGCTTTGCAACCGTCATCTCATTGGTTAAAAATGGAGTACCAGGTAATGTGTCACTTTGCTGCAGCCCTTTGAGGTTGCTTTATGAGCAACGCGCTGTGAAATGAGCTGAATAACTCTTGTGCATGTAGTACTGACTGCGAGAACCTCTTTGTAATACACTAGCGTCGCTCTCGTAGGTGCAGTACCGACCGCGAGAACTGGTCACGGCCTTGTACTCCTTGAACGCCTTAACTTTCTTCAACAGAGCGGCAACAGCTCACGCGTGCAGGCAGTACTGCTGCGGGGTCCTTCCATACCGATTTTATGAGTTTGTAGCCGCGGGACGGCTTCCATTTCACGCAGATTGCTACTGTGCGGTAGGTCTGGCGGGCTGGATTTTATTTGTGTGAAGATGTCTGAAATGATGACACAGTTT